TCCATACACGGTCGGTTTCGGCGACATCGCGGATAGCACGTATCCAATCGATCCAATCGGCCGACGTTCGCAGCTTGACGCTCTGCGAAGCGGAGATAACAGCGTTTTCCATAGCGGTATCGGGTTGTATTCAACAGTGCTGCTTTCGATGCAGATACTGTGTACAGATCGGTTCGCTCTCAGGGGTAATTGACCGACGGGGTCAATTCGACAGATAAACGGTATGAATAGCCTCAGATTCGACAGAATAGGCAATATATTCACTTAGCAAGCCGGGCTCATAACTGTCGGAACAGAAATGTACGTCCAATCAGGTCCATGGGTAGTTGTCTAATTTTTGTTATGTTCGCTCACATACTAATTTGTATGCGACCGACCATGACTAAGACTCTTGGCTAAGTTACAATGATACATTCTGACCATGCCTTACAATACCAATTCCCCACTCATACCGACAACTTCCCGGCTAGCTACCTTTCACCAAGACTCTATCCAACCTATCGCTGAGCATCATTTGGAAGAAATGCCACATTGTGGGGCCACTCAATCGACGTGTGATATGCTACTGACAGTAGTTGGTGGAGCGAAGGGCGATCATGGCTGATGTTGCGATTTCTTCACCCCTTGGCATTAACTCCTTCCCGCCCCACGGTTCGCGCCCACATTTCACCTCCTGCAGGCGATATCCGCCACCATCTCAATAATTACCAGCGAATATTGTTACATATGGCCAGTGGCCAGAATTTTCTGACTTCCGGGATCTCGAATAGTTTATTGTGCGCCCTCTGCCCGGACTTTCAAAGTTTAGGTAGCAATTAATTCCCAGACCTCGCTCGGAGGGCTTCAAGGATTTAAATTGTCGGCCACCGGCTCTATATATAAATTAGCTCGTATGGATCTCATGCAACACTAATAATAGTTTATCTCGATGCGTCTCACCGCCAGTATCACGGTATATCACAACTTGAATTTGGAACATCCATAAATTCAATAATTATGTAGCATGCACAGATAAAAGCTCGATGTGATATACTTCAAGGCTAGTGGTGAATTGACTCCCAAAATTACTAGCAGAAGCGATTTACTCACCGGGATCCCTAGAGGCTACTAGAGGAGTAGTAGTATTTGGAAATGACTCTGTATTATTTCGCCGCCTGAAGCGTCTATATTCTAGTATGCATGTTCTGATTTCTGATTCTAGGTCGCCGCAAGGGGGAGCAACAAAAGTTGGTTGTTCTAGATCAGGTTGGACCATAGCTATGTCGTACGTGGCTCGAAAGCAAAAATATCCATAATTCGATAAAGGTCGTGATAAAAAAAACAAGAGGAGAGCCGACTGAACCCTTACTAGCTACGAATTTATCGGCTCAAAAAGCATTTCCTTTGAGATGTTCTTTGTATATTGTTACTCTATGAACTGCCTGCCTGGTATTTGGGCTGACTGGAGAGATTCCGAAGAAAGAAAACTGAATATAGAAGTCGCCGACCGCACTGATTTTAGATTGTGGATTCGCCAAAGCTTGGGCCCGAGTCCTAATTTGAGCCTTTTCCGTGGGCACGGAATAAACCTTTGGATTCTCAACTTGTGCAAGCTTTCATACTCGACCAAAGTACTCGGCGCTTGTTTTTAATGAACCACGTGATGCTTTATTTCTATGACTCAAGCGCTGGCCCACCCGAAGACAAATGGGGATATGATTGCGTGGAGTAATGTGTGGTGGAGTCCCGGAGTTGTCTCGAGGCTCCGAGCCCATCGGAAACATCCCATTAGACAGCCATGCGATGTCAACAATTCATGCCTGCATAGCCGCGCTATCTGCTGTGTATGTAATCCGTACGGAGGAGGCGAATGTATAACGGGTGCGCGTGTATTTCGTTTATTCACGGTATTTCCGGGATAAAATGTTTTCGGCCTTATTGTATACTAAAGCCAATTTACCGCAAGGCTTCCCCCGGAAGCCAACGCTCAAAAACAACCTACGGAGTACTCCGGGGTCAACCCCAGATTTGATTGCACAGTATGCTTAATTAAATGACATCAATGCTACTGTTCTTTGTAACCTCATGCTGATTTAAATAGGTAAACAGCCGTTCTACTCCGCGGTATACCTCGGATTCAGACTTCCTTCCGCCCCGTGGGTTACGAGTATTCTGCAACACCCCTCAAGCACTAAGTGGGCCAAAAGTTGCCACCACTTGGCATGAGTCAAAACAACTCCAGTTCTCAGGGGATTTTATGATGACGTTGTTAAGCCGTGGACATTAGTTAGGAAATCATCTCTCATTTCTTCCCAACTTCATTTGTATTTCTCTCTATAAGAAAAAGCTGAAAAGTTAAAAAGATAAAAATCAAAACGAGAGGCGATTGAGGCGATTAAGGCAATGCGGCTCCCCAGGAAGGAAGGTGGCTGATTAGTCATCCGATCTGGGGCGCATAACCTTCCGATTACGGCCAGAGTGGGGCCTACTAGTCCTAATTCGGCGATCATCGCCTATATCGGAGGCAATTTTTGGCAGAACGCTCCAGTTTCGAAGGTTCTTCTTAATGACCCAAAAATTTCCTAGCTTTCTATTCTCCTCAAAAGCATTGATCAGCGCGGTTTTCGACAACTTTATTTCCTTTATCTTTCCTTTTCGCGTTCGTTTTTGGACCTTCACACTCGCCCAAAATGAGGGCTCACAGCGGCAGCGATGCCAAGGAGGACTTCCCGGCTGAAGTCAGCGATGGCTTTGTCCCCGACAATATGGACGCCCGAGAGCTGCAAATACACGAGCACGGAATTAAGAAGTTTAGTCGCTTAGGGTGGAAGCGACTCACAGTCGTTCTTATTACTGAAGCTATCGCGCTAGGCACCCTGTCTATTCCTTCCACATTCGCCACCTTGGGCATGGTAGCTGGTGTCATTTGCTGCATCGGTATCGGTCTCATCGCGATTTACACGAGTTATGTTGTTGGCCAGGTCAAGGTCAAATACCCTCACATCACCAACTATGCCGACGCGGGCCAGGTGCTCTTCGCCAAATTCGGTTGTGGGCGATTTGGATATGAGCTCATTACTGTCATGCTGAGCTTGCAGTTACTTTTCCTGATCGGATCGCATTGTCTTACTGGCTCGATTGCGCTCATCACTATTATCGACACCAATATCTGCTCTATCGTTTTTGCTGTTGTGTCCGCCGTCATCCTTCTTCTTCTCGCCATCCCACCTAGCTTTACGGAAATGGCTATTCTGGGCTATGTTGATTTCGCCTCGATCATAATCGCTGTGGGTGTCACCATTATTGGTACTGGAATTCAAGCCACGAATAGCACCGGATTGTCGAACGTGAATTGGTCTGCGTGGCCAAAGGAAGGCATCACCTTTGCAGAGACTTTTATCTCGGTCACAAATATTATTTTCGCCTACACCATCACCATTTGCCAGATCTCTTTTATGGATGAGATGCACACACCCACCGACTTCACGAAATCTGTTTGCACACTGGGCGCTATTGAGATGGTCGTTTACACCATGACGGGTGCTTTGATCTACGCCTTTGTCGGCCAAGATGTCCAAAGTCCTGCTCTTCTCTCTGCGGGACCTACCCTCAGCCGTGTTGTTTTCGGTATCGCACTCCCCGTGATCTTCATCAGTGGCTCCATCAACGCGGTGGTATTCGGGCGCATGATTCACGGGCGCATTTTCAAGAACTCCTATATCCGGTTCATCAACACTACAATGGGCTGGGTCACTTGGCTGGCCATGCTTGTGGCTGCCATTATCATCTCTTTCATCATTGCGGAGGTCATTCCATTTTTCGACGACTTACTCTCCCTAATGTGTTCGCTTTTCCTGTCTGGCTTTACTTTCTACTTCCCAGCCATGATGTGGTTCCTTCTTATTAAGAAGGGAAGCCTGTTCACACCGAAGAACCTTGCCCTGGGTGCCCTGAACATCTTTGTGTTCTTGATTGGACTCGTGACTCTGGGCGCTGGTATCTACTCCTGCGTCATTGATATTGTATGTTTACATTCCCCCATCCCTCTATCAAAATCAAAAGATAAGAAACTAACCAATGATTATAGAGAAACAAGTATCGCGATGGCACAGTTGGAGGTGTTTTCAGTTGCTCATCTTGATCTGTTGCTGGTCGGGAGTTTTGCTCTTTGGGTTCTTTCGAGATCTTTGTATAGATAACTAGACTTTTCAAATGTAAATATAAAGCATTGCTATTCTAACTTGGGCCTTATTCAAGTTTATGTACAATATTCAGAATCAGTTCAAAACTGGACAGGAAACCTCTCATTAGCTGAGTCATTGGGATATCAGTAGTGCAACATCAACTTATGAGTAGAAGGGAATGAGATTGACTAAACCTGCGGCCAGTAGCCCAACGATTGTTTGCTCTATAGTCCTCTGATTTGCTATTTCAACTTGAAGGACAAGGAGAGCGCCGTATGGTAATTCCGACATGTAGGTACACTCAAAGAGAAAGCGAATGACGTGATAAGGGGTCGCTGATGACACCTAAGCCACAGAAGAGCTACAGCATCAAATTTGCCGAACACAATTACATCCATGACTCATCGAATGTAGCTTTGTATACTTTTGTTACGATTGAGGATAATTTGGACCTCGAGAGAGTATACATTGAAGGAAGATCAAGCCGGAGCCCGATCATGTATCTTGGACGAAGAATTGAAGCTGTGAGAGTAAAAAGGAGCGTATATTGATAGTATATCAAAGGGTAATCCGAAAGGGATCAATTATGCGTCCCTACCACAAAACCTGCTGGGACTCAGAAACACCTCCAGCGCAAATAAAAGTGTTCATTCTCAAGCCCTGGAGGAACAGCGGCGTCCGCACAGATTACGGCAGAGCTACATAGGCAGTATCGGCGGAAAACTCATGTAGGAATAAAGAATTGGATTAAAAACTGCTTGGGTAAGACCCTTCTCCCAGAACAACAAAAACCATTAAATACAGCATAGATATAACTTGACCCTGCGAAACCACAATTCATTCAGGAACCCTCCTCCCCCTAGGTGGTGGATTTTGCTGGCCCCTCCCAAAGAGAGGACTCAACCCGATTCTTCGATGAATAGTCTCGAGTGGCCTTTTTCTAGCTGTTGGATAGAATCCAGGAACTGCTCCGTCGTAAGGTGACCCTCTTTTCTCAACTGGAAGACTGTTTGTCAAGTTCATGGCAGTTTTTGAAGTCGAAAAAATTATATCGTTTTCATCATCTGGTGTTGTGGAGGTAAAGAGCAGCCAGCGTAAAAACGGCCCATCAGATCGATCCGCCGGAGTATCTGTTGGATGATGCCCTCGCTCCAAACAACATATTAATCTAGTCCACCTTGTCATTCGCTTTCCTTTTCCATCCAGGACTGTCGCCTCAATTTCAAAATAGCTGTTTGTTGAAAGACCATTGGCAGTATGTGCAGTGCCATCTCCAAGAATTGGAATTGGTGGAGGGTTTGCGATGTGGTTAGGTCCAATCAAAACGTCCAGGTCCCCTTCGTAGAGAGTCATATACGATGCTGCTGTGTCGTATAGAAAGAGCATTTCAACCCACCAGTCGTAACCAGGCAGTCTAAGAGCAACGCCGTACTAGATCGCAAATTGTCAGTGATGAGATATAGGTTTGGTTGCCATATGACATAATGTTCAAGTTATGATGAGACGTACAGTGAATGTCCAGGTATCATTTAGAGGTACAACTAATGTCGGACGCTGTACTCTAGGACCGGGTCCTAGAATCTAACAATGCTTCAGTATTTTGAGCGGGGGGGTTTAACTTTCTCTCCTTACCCCTTCTACCCAGAAACTTTTATGGCCTTCATTTGCAGCATTGATAGCCTCAAACTCATCCCAGTCAAAAGGGCGTGGCTGGCACAATTGTTTGCCCTTTGCCCAGTATGTAACAAGACCTATCGCCCATGGAAGGCTCTTTGATCTATATGCTTCCATTATCGATTTGATATTTGGAATTTGATTATTCTCGTTGCCATCATTCTTTCTCGTTTGTAAGATGTATTCCAGGGCGTCAAGTCGTTTATAAACATTTGAATCTGATCCGGCGGGCTCGTTCCTTGCGACTCCACTAATGCCATGTTAAACAATACGCTCTTATTTTCAGACGTGCAGGACTTTGTAGCAGAGATTATAGTATGGAAGCACTTGACTCACTTTGCATAGTCTCTTCTTCCTTTGTATTCAGCCAATCTTGCTTCAAATAGGTGAGGCATTATCCCATCTTCTATTCTTTCTTCGCATCTCAATATCAGGGCATCAATATCACTGGGTAGGTTAGAAAGATTCGTGGCGCAATTATAGTGCCAGTCATAATAACATACTTTGGATCAAGGTCTGGCTCTCGTGCGTTCTAATCATGGGGCAAGTCTTCAGCCTGTGTTATTGGGTTATCTCCTCTTTTTCTCCATCTTTTCTGACGGGGCTGAGGCTTGAAATTAGACTTGGGTTGGTTTTGCACAGAATCCACAAATGACTTTTTAAGGTCGAGCTGATCTACCATGACTTTATTTCTCAATGTCTTCACCCAAGGAGATCCTTTTGCCGATGAATCATTTCTGACAACTACCTTCCTCTGCTCTTTTGGAGAATATGGGCCCTTCGATTCTTGTGTGTCCGGACTACGAACGCCCTCTTAATATTTACCAAAGAACGATGGCTCCTCCCATAAACGCCAGAAGTCCTCTATAGCAGAGACCAGAGCACCGTGGCCTGTAATCTTAAAGATTCCATGCAACAGTTTTAGCCCCTGGGCCATCAAACCGGTTGCATAATCATCAGCTAGAAAGCTATTAGTTTTGCTGAAAGACAGGGTTGTGGGGTATCCTAGAAACATACCATACTCATCAAGTGGAGTTGGGTCATAGTAACGTGGGTTAGGGAGGTTATGTCTTGGATGCAGGTCATGGAAATCCCAGGATACATCCTCGATTACTTTAATTACTGTACTCCGGATAAACAAGGTGATGGAATATAACTCTTCAAGCTCCCATGGTTGAAGGAACTTTTCAAAGACAAGCAATCCTTCCCAGACGAGCTCAAAGGCCCTAGGTTCAAACCATTTGTGTTCACCTGTCGGGAATGGGTTGCCAAACATCTGACAACCTAGCTGAAATCGGTAAAGAGCACGTATTATCCGGCCTTTTTCTGTTTCGCTTAATGAAGCATCGCACTCCTTCTCGGATATTTCTGGTCGAATAGCAAGGTTTTTGTAAAGCCCATTTGGCATAGCGGTGTGTCATAGGTTGAATAACCATAAAATGAAAATTGGCAATTGCGATAGCATCACCCAAACTCAAAATTCTATACAGCTCTGATTCAGGCTGTACCCGCGATTTTCCAAGGTCGTCACAGAGTTGTGTAATTTTCTCATGGTCCCAGTTCAAAAAGGTCTCATTGGTACTAGTTAGTTATTTCAACCATTGATTGCGATCGGGCAGCTTCGTCTTTTCCCCCTGATTCTTTATTCGCCGTAGTGATGTATTTTGATTATTTGGTGTCACTTAAGCACACTCTGTCAAATGGTGGTTGGCCTTACTGAGCGGCAGCTAGCTTTGTGAACACTGACAGGTTACCTAACCGATTCAGGCCATTAAAAATAACCATGTTTGCTTTGGCGACAATATGCGAGATATTATTGGGGTTGATATTATATCCTCGTTCGGTATTTTACGCAGCCCCTCGTAGTTCGAACGTCGATTGTCTGGCAGGGCTGGTACCCGTGAATATTTCGAGTACTCGAGTAGGCTTTGCCGACTGAAGCACCCGACATCGGTTTCCATCCCGCGGACATAGAGATGCTCTTCCAAACTCTGATCATGTCATCCATATTGCCAGATATGGTTACTCCGGTATTTTGTCTTACTACTGTAGGAACCTATGCAGGTCTCATTTTCATAGATTGGTTTGAAAATGCGCTGCAAATTGAGATCATTGTATGTCAAATCACCGCCGGTAAACGGTAAACTCCAGATATAGGAACCCGAGGTAAGCAGCCAAGAGCACCACACCAGCATTCCTCCCCATTCCCAAAAATATGACTGCACAAAACAGCACAGAGGACACCCACACTGCCATCAGCTCAAAAAGCACAAAATTATCCGCCTCTTGTACCTGGTACCCCGCTACAGCAATGACACCAACACAGAGCGTCAACAGGAAAATGTTGCTTCCTGCTGTCATAGCAGCCATAATACCGCCGTGGCCGCGGGAACCACTGAGGATTGCAACCAGTTTTTCTGGGAGAGTAGTGGCAAAAGAGACAACGGTCAGACCAAAGACGGTTCCCGAGAAATGCAGGGAGTCGGCGATGGTGACAGCGCTATGGGAGAGGATATATCCTGACAAAGAAAGTGAAATAAATCCGAGAATAAGTTGGAAAATGTGGTAAGTAAGGCTTCTGCTTCGTCTGCTTCCTTTGTCTGTTGATGACGGCGTAACCTCATTCTCAATAAGTGGAGAATTCTCGGACGTAGTGGCATGGTTGACAGATTCGCCGTCATCACTATCACTGTATTCCCGGTCGCTATCACTGTCGGAAAGCTCTGGGGGCGAAGCTACACCTTTATAGATAGCATAGATGATAGAGACGACATAGAGCGCGAATATGGCAATCAGAACCCCACCAACAATCCGGTTCAGTTGGTTAAAGAATGCCAACACCACGAAGAGCGTCGTAACCAGAAACAGCAGGGCCGAGTATAATTTTTCGCTGCGGCCAAACTCCAGACCCTGGGGATAAAAGAGTAGCCCCAAAGAAAATGCGCCGAGGATGTTGGAGATAGTCGAACCCATGACGTTCCCGAGGGCAAGGGGGCTACGATGTTGCAGGATGGCGGCAACCACTACGGCGAGCTAATGAGGGGGTAAGCCACAATGGATGGTGAACCGGATTGAAGTGAGTTGCAGACCTCTTCCCATTCAGCGCCAGCTGTCAAGAGGGCAATGACAGTTTGCGAGATGCCTAGACGCCGCCCGACAACGACGGTATGGTCGATAAACTTGTCCGCGCCATAGTCAAGAACAAACACGCCTGCAATCAAAGTGGCAACATTGAACCACAAGGCATCCCAATCCATTATTGTCTCTGAACCTATTTCATATATGTCGACAGTAATGGAAAATGGAGAGGGCTAGCTAGAGTAAGTGGAAATATTGATGATGGTCTTAAAATCGAACTGTCGCCTTTCCCTGACCGCCTTCCATAATAACCTGTCTCTAGTCGTAGTTTTGGCTCCATCACATGATAGAAGAAGGCTTTTTCAGTTGCAGCATTGACTCCCCTCGGAGGCAAACGGTAATACAGTGTATACAATGACTGTTTGGAGGTATACATAACTGAATTCAAACATCACTTTACTGACCCAATAACCTGAGAGGCAAATATTCTAAAAGCCAATAATCTGAGAACAAACAGTAACAGGCTCAAAGTTAATGTGCAAAATAATGCCTCTGGCTTCACAGATAGACCTGTGCAATGGGCCGCCCATGGGCCAAAATTTGGCTACCCACCCATAGGCTAGGTACCCATAGGTATTTAGGGCATGCCTATTTAGCCAAGACATTATATATATTACTAGCTTATATATATTACTAGCTTATTAGGACTATTGTTTTAAAATAACTACCTTAATTATAGCTAAATACTAAATGTCTTATACGTTGATCAATAATCTCTAAATATATTTATATATATCACATAATACTACTATTTGCCCCACTTATGGGCATGCCCATGGGTTTGCACAGGTCTAATTGCACAGGTCTACTTCCACAACAAAGGCCCCGCCCGCCGTCGCTACAGCCCCATTGAATGATCGGATTATGTCTTACCACTGTCTTGAATCATGCGAACCCCGGGTTTTGGAATGAAATGAATAAATGAGCCCATCATCGCTTCGGAAACGATCATTGGCTGAAGCTAGATTACTAACATGTGCATCGGAGCAACTTCGGTGATGCACGTGATATGATCAAACATGCCAGTGCAGAGTTTTAAGACTCAATTTTCAGTCACCGTGGAAGTCTCGCCGAATTTTTCTAGAATTTTTCCATGGCGTGAAGAAATGTGGTCCCGAAACAAATTTTCAATTTCAAGTTGACATTGGGAGAAAACAATGCCCAAAACAATGCTCTGTGGTTTAGCCGGAGATATTCTTTTTTATCATTTGCCACCGATCACATACAGCACTGGCTTACTACTAGTAATGATATTAAGAACGACGCGATTCGTAAAATCATTATCGATGATAATAAATTAAGTAATACAGTCGTTCTCGAAATCGGCTTGACCGATACACACTCAATCACTCTTCTCTGGCCCCACTGCCAAGACTTTAGCGCAAATCATAAAATTGGGCAGATGGCAGTAAGTGGTGGTCCGCTGTAAAATGCTGCTTATAGTATTATATAGTATTAGTAAATTTACGTAACGTGTAAGAGAATTAGGTAGAGCCCTATGGAAGTAAATACAGTACTAGGTCTCCGCGAAACACTCCGTAGACAAGTTAGGTGACTGCGGGTATTCAACCTCTCTTCTCAGCCCGTCTATATTCTCGTTGCCAACCGTCGCCTCGTACAGTAGTTCCGGGAAACAATGCCACTACTGACTCACTTTTCATTATTTTCTCGAGCCTTAATGCTGAGAGCTACTAAACTGTATTAGGCTATGTATAGGAGTAACAATCTTCCGGTATTTTATAATATAAACTCTTACAGAACCAAGTTACATACCGCATGCTTATGAGTGCATACAGTAGGTGATACTTGTACAGTAGCTGAAAACTTCCGTAGAAATAAAATACAAACAATTCAAGCAAATCCAGTGGCGATCGAATTCGCGAATCCGGCCACCTCTCATCATCTCCGCACAGCAGCCGTCCTAGTGCCTACTTAGAACATCAAAAAGGCGTGCGACGTAGCTCTAGATGGACTAAACCTGATACAGATTGACGAAGACAAAAATCCTGATTACTTCACTGTTGGTATCACCAGCTAGGTACTGTGTACACGGTTAAGTGGACAGCATGTATGCTCCAAAAGCAGAAAGTAACTTGATTGATAGATAGATGATGATAGATCAGTCTGGTTGCAAAACACCCCCGGATACTACACGCCGGCCCTCGGCGGTCACAACATCGGGGCCGCAGCCTGGCGCAAGAATGCGTGCACCAAGCAAGGGATTATATTCCTCAGAGAAGGATATATCCCGACATTCACAAAGCGTGGTGTTAAGTGGGGTATTGCCCAGGGTTTTGTCAAGGACATTATGTTCTGGGCTGAAAATATAATGGTCGTGACTAGGACTGGGAACTTTGAATGTGAGCATTTAATTATATATTCTGTTTTAGCTATTCTTTCCAAACATCTATATAATTTGAGACACATTCATGCGCAGAGACGAGGGCTTTAGATGCCTTCGATTATTAAACCTGCATTTCGAAAATGACCCCCGCACTTGATCCTCTTGATCGAACCTTATCAACAAAACATTCGAGAAAGGCATCGAATCCCTGGCTTGGATTCACTTTATACTCATCCTACTTCCGTTTAATGAACTGCTTTAGCTCGGAGAAGAACTCCTCGATAGGGTTCAAAGCTGGTGAATAGGGTGGAAGATATACGAGCTTAACGCCGGAATCTGTGCACATCTGCTCAATTTTCGTTGTACGATGAATGAAGCATTATCTATGACGATAACAGACTTTGGCACCGGCCATCGGTTGCAGAGTTGAAGAATTTGGTCAATGAAATCCTCAAAAACATCGGCATCGGTACAGCCTTGAAATACTCGTCGCAGGACAACCCTATCTTGAGCATACGCAGGTAGTATCGGATATCGATTATGCCGTTGAAACTTGGAAATCTGGACCGGTTTAACACCGAGAGGAGACCAGCCTATTCGTCGAAATCCCGCTCTTTTTATCACAACCTGACTCGTCCACGAAGACCAAATGGTATGACCGAAGGGTAGATAGATTATGGAGGCAAAAGTCCAGTAGATTTGCATTTCGTTCCTTTGCAATTTGTCGGGCAGCTTTCTTGGACCACCCCACGGAAGCAAGCAAGCAAGCGCCCGCCTGAAGCTCTGGATCGTAACATGCTTCCCAAAATCGTCCCAGAGAAAGAGGGCCATCTCGTCTTGATACAAGGTCGATTTCTCCAGCAAATGTTCGCAAAGGGCTTCCATCATACGTGGCGTCATACTTCGTGGGCGACCAACGCCATTTCGAGGGACTCGGACATTTTCGAACACTTGCAGGTTTGAGCGAATGTGTATCATGGATTGTCTCTAGAGTCGGAGATATGGGCCATCTGAGAAGTCGTTAGTGATTTGCTTTGAATCATATGATCGATTAGCTCGAGTTGTGACTGTTTCAAATTCGGTTCTATTTTGCTTTGCGTGATGTGATGCGGTCATTTTCTGACTGTCGGTTAGTGCTACGTGGATTCTTTGAAGCGAGCTAAGTATGTCCTTACGGACCGACAATAACCCAATAACCCGAGATGAATGACATCATACCGTTAGTTGCAAATGGCGTGCAGGTCAGCATGATTTGGGCCGGCTCGGGCCGACAGTCCTTCCGGTGGGAATCAGAAGCTACGCAGCTATGGATGGAGTTCCACAAAACTCCTTGAACAGCATTTGCGCAGAGGCTGAGGTTCGAAGTATTGACTACATTTCTTGATTTGATGTTTACTAAAAGACAGTCATCTTTAATTGAAATAGAGATGAATTGTGATTCTCTTAACTACAGAAATACCCCAGCAGTAGAGGTCACATGAGAGCGGGGCTACGCTGACACAGAGATCATCTGCTAACACCCTGTCACTTCAGTCACTTCAGGACAAGTAACTCCGCATGTTCCTTCTGAGGGCCAAAGACACTTTGCCTCGTGATACATGGATTCAACGATCTCATTCAGTGGGGCCAATTATGGAGCAGAGATAGGCGTTAACTACGGTTCGGTCACGAACGAGTTTCATCATCAATTAGGTACCGTAGGAGTGTAATTATTCAGCGTCGATCGTGCTAACCTTAAAACAGACCTTGATGACAAGCTCTCCCCTGTACCCGGGGCTGCGTTCGACTCATACGAAAATCAGCATGAAGATCAATGTCTTCCAGGCACACGAACCGATATCATCGATCAAATCACTGAATGGGCCTCGTCCCCAAATGCCAGGTGCATATTATGGTTGAACGGAATAGCGGGAACAGGAAAATCCACCATTTCACAAACAATGGCAAGAAATTTCAGCAACTCTAAGTCACTTGGAGCAAGCTTTTTCTTTAAAAGAGGCGAAGCGGATCGCGGGAATGCAAGAAAGCTATTCCCGACAATCGCAAGGCAATTAGCGATTACTATTCCTATGATAGATCCAGCCCTCCAGCAAATAGCCCACGATAACCCGGGTATTACAACAAAGACGATGCGGGAGCAATTTGAAAAACTCCTCCTTCAGCCACTCCAGAGCCTTGAGCGAAACCCTGCCGCTATCAAGGCCATGGTGATAGTGATTGACGCATTGGACGAATGCGAAGGAGATAGTGACATTCGACTTATACTCCAACTTCTCCCACAGCTAAAGAACATAGCGGCAATTCATTTACGAGTGCTCTTGACGAGTAGGCTCGATCTACCGATTCGTTTAGGTTTTTCGAGAATTCCAAGCCATGACCACAAAGACCTGATTCTCCATGACATCCCTATAGAAGTGATCGAGCATGATATATCATTGTTTTTTGAATATCGACTTGCGGGGATCAGGATTGAACGGTCCCTCCCAACAGACTGGCCTGGAGAGAAAAATCTCCAAAAACTAGTGGCATTATCCGTTCCGCTCTTTATATTCGCGGCCACGATCTGCCGTATATTTGAGAACCCAGATTGGGACCCAACTGACAGTCTCACCGAGATCCTTACACATCAAAACGACCAATCAAAGCTAGATAGGACTTATCTTCCGGTTCTTGATCGTCTTCTCAGTAGACAATGCGAGAAGCAAAAAGCAAAACTAGTCTCGGAGTTCCGGCAGGTGATCGGTGGTATTATGATGCTAGAGAGCCCACTGTCAATGGTCTCGCTCGCAAAGCTCCTTGAGCTTCCTGAGAGACTTGTTCGCCTTCGACTCGATCCACTGCGCTCGGTGCTTAGAGTGCCAAATGATGATACAGTCCCCGTTCGGCTCTTCCACCTGTCATTTCGGGACTTTCTTCTTGATCCAGAAACGCGCAAAAAAACTCCCTTTGGGATAAGTGAGACTGAGATGCATTATAGCTTGGCCAGACAATGTCTGCTTTTGTGTCAGACTCTTCGCAAAAATATCTGTCGACTACCGAGCGATGGATTCGAACGTGCAGAACTTGACCGTCGGACTATCGATGCCTACCTTCCTCCAGAGTTGCAGTACGCCTGTCGATACTGGGCATATCATTTAGTCAAATGCACAGACTCGGATAATATGATGTATAGTGCGCTGTTGTTTCTCCAGAGGCATGTTCTGAAGAAACACTTTCTACACTGGGTGGAAGCAATGAGCTTACTAGGCCTTACGTCTGAAATACTAGGTATCCTTGATGACCTCCAAACGGCCATATCGGTAAGCTCCAAAGTTAGTCTTATATGATTTGCATTGACAGCTTTAGGGCAACAACTCTTCCCCAATTTCGCATTTTCTTCACGATGCAAAGCGATTTATTGTGAAAAATTTCCAGATAGTTGATCAAGCGCCTCTTCAAGTTTATTGTGCGGGACTTATATTTGCACCCCACACGGCAATAATCCGTAGAGAGTTCAAACAAGAACTTCCAACTTGGGTATGCCAGCTACCACGAGTTGAGGAAAGATGGAGTGCCGAATTACAGACTCTCGAAGGTCATTCAAGTCGGGTTCGGTCAGTCACTTTCTCGCCCGATGGTCGGCTACTAGCGTCTAGCTCTCATGATAGCACAGTTCGACTTTGGGACCCCACGACAGGTGCACTTACCCAGAAGCTCGAAGGTCATTCAGGTTCGGTTCTGTCGGTGGCCTTTTCGTTTGACGGCCGGATGCTGGCATCGGGCTCTGACGATAAGACAGTACGGATCTGGGACCCGTTAACAGGTGCCCCTGTCCAGACGCCTAAATACCATCCGATGTGGGTTTTGTCGGTGACCTTCTCGCCAGATGGCCGGCTCCTAGCATCCGGCTCTCTTGATAAGATAGTACGACTCTGGGATCCGGCGACAGGCGCACTCACCCAGACGCTTGAAGGTCATTTAGGTTCGGTTGCGGCGTTAGCATTCTCGTCTGACGGCCGGCTGCTGGCATCGGGCTCTGACGATAAGACAGTACGAATCTGGGACCCGTTGACAGGTGCGCTTATCCAAAATCTCGACGGCCATCCAAAGTGGGTTTGGTCAGTGGCCTTCTCGCCAGATGACCGGCTACTGGCGTCGGGCACGGGTGATCAGATAGTGCGGCTCTGGAACTTGGCAACAGGCGCACTCACCCAGACGCTTGAAGGTCATTCAGGTCCGGTTGTGGCGGTGGCCTTCTCGCCTAAAGGCCAGCTGCTTGCGTCCGGCTCCAGTGATAAAACAGTGCGGCTCTGGGACCTGGTGACAGGCGCACTTATCCAGACGCTCGAAGGCCATTAGTCTCCAGTTGAGTCAGTGGATTTCTCGCCCAAAGGCCAACTGCTTGCGTCCGGCTCTTGTGATAAGACAGTACGACTCTGGGACCTGGAGACAGGCGCGCACACACAGCCAATGAAAGGTCATTCGAAGTTAATTGAGTGGGTGGCCTTCTCCCCTAGTGGTCGGCTGCTTGCGTCAAGCTCTGGTGATAATTCAATAGGGATCTGGGACCCAATGACAGGCGCACTTGCCAATATACTCGAAGGCTCCTTAAGTTACGCTTCGTCGGGTGCCTTCTCCCCCGATGAACGGCTATTTGCGACCGGCACGAATGATGGTAAAGTACAGCTTTGGGACCTCATAACGGGTACACTTTCTCAACAGTTTGAAGGCCACTCAAGTGTGATTTCGTTAGTGGCTTTCTCAACTGACGGCCGGCTGTTGGCATCAAGCTCTGGTGTGCAGCTATATGACATGGCGACAGGCGTGTCCACTCAGGCTGACAATACGGTGCGTCTCTGGGACGTGGCGACGGGCACCCTTGCCCGGACTTTTGAAGGCCATTTGGAATCAGTTGCCTCAGTAGCCTTTTCGCCGGACGGCCGGCTGATGGCGTCTGGCTCTAAGGACAACACAATGCGGCTCTGGGATGTGGCGACAGGCGCGCTGGCACGAACTTGGAATGTCGAAAATATAGTCACTACGCTAGAATTTTACTACGAAGGTTCACGTCTCCGTACTAATTTCGGCTGGGTTGACATTGAATCTGAGTGTGACGTCTCTTCATTCCATCCTCCTTGTGCGAATCTAGGAATCTCGATCGGGAATGACCAATGGATAAGATTGTCAGGCGAAAAGGTTCTTTGGCTTCCTATTGAATCTCGGCCCACCTGTTTCAAGGTCAATGGCAATACACTTGCCTGAGGACACGCATCAGGGCGCATTTCCTTTATCAAGTTTGGTATATAGATATCTATATTTCTCGTTCCTTCTCGTCCGTTGTCTAGTGTGTGTGTAAATCGGCTTTCTTGCATATGGAATATTTCATAGAGACCCAGTTCCCTGATAGATCACAGAGATCCACTCTGTGGTTTCATGAAACTTCACGTTGTTCTCACCCACACTATTATTACGTCGCTATTTGGATCAAACAAAGTGTATTTTACGATAACTCTGAACAAAATGTGGCCGGTCAAATAAATAATCTGCGCTAATGTCTTGGCAGTGGGGCCGAGAAAGAAAGTCTCAGTGTGAACTGGTGAAGGCAATTTCGAGAATCACTGTATCAGCCAAGACATTCAAAGATGCTCCATTCTGAAAAAACCCACCTTACAGTAGCTTTTTGGGAGAGTTGCGTCTGTTGTAGGATTCGCGACATAGTCTGTTCCACCTCGGTCTCTCGATAAGAAGCACCATACTGGATCAACCAGGTTAATCATATTTCATAATCTTACGACCGAGCTGCGTGTTCAACGATGTCACTAGTTGCAATCTTATGGACGGAGAGATACATTACCGTACCATGCCATTCCAGGTTCATTGAACAGCAGCCCTCAACTTAGTATTTCCCGCCCAATGAATAATCTACGCTAAAGGCTTGGCAACGGGGTCAGGAAAGAGTTTCTGAATGTGTACTGGTCAACGCAATTCTGAGAATGACTGTACCCAGGGATAATATTCATTGCGTTCTCGTATTCATTACCGCTGCTCGAGTCGAGTACATTGTGTACAATCAGAAGATTCACGCTAGCCCAAGTGATGAACGAATAGAATTTCTCGCTGAGAAATGACGAGTGTTCAGAAGCTATGCTGCTAAGAAATACGAAGCTCCCTACCAGAATAGGCATGTGAGAGCGGAAAACCATTTAACCTTCCATTTTTATTCCACACGCCGTGAAAAGACGTCAGTCATGCCCAAATGAATCTCAATGCAGATGAGATTGTCGGCGGAATCCCCGAAGCAAAACGCGACCTGCCTCACTTTAAAATCTACAGGTCTGAAGGCCCAGTTTTGTCGGGGTGTACCGGGCACAGTAAACCACGCATCGATCGTCATTCAACGAATTTGAGGTGGACCTTCCGAGGATCTACCGACCAGACGATCTCTCGGTCAACCGAACTGGGAAACAAGACCACCGGAACAAAATCATTCATTTCTCACACTGTTTGAACAGAATGGAGCCCAGAATTTCCCAAAGCAAACCAGAACGCTCATAAATTTCTACATCTACGAGTCTGATATCAAAAAGAGTCGAAACCCTCTCCTTTCCGACCAAAATGATTCCCTCCGAGTCGCCATTCGGCATGCCGGTGGTTTGGCGGTGGGGCCGAGTGCTCCAAGGCATGCCGAGAAGGTCGGCGAAAGCGGCATCGGGATGTAATCGGTCTTTCTTCGCAGTTATTTAGATCTTGCCGACTAATCGCTTCCCGGTGGTTGTCCGAAAGTGGCCTGTTTTCGCTAGGTGGCGTCCTTGTATTGAACGACAATTCGCCCAACATTATCGTGGTCCACACGTCTCATGCGACAGAGGCAGGGTGCATGGTTCATCGTATCGGTCTGCTTCCGAATCGGGAAAAATAGCATCAATGACGATGGTCCAGACCACGGGTTTTAACCCAGAGTTTTGAGTAGTATCTGGAGTTGGAGCTACGGAATGCAAACAAGATAATCATTCATCTAGGGAAATCGTAGAACCAGCAGCTTGAGAGCCGAGAAAGCAGAGAGCTGGAGAGCTAAGGGATCAAGGTTTGAAAGCTACCGTCCGCAACACTCCTTTGTCTACCTCCACTCGAAGAAAAACTCAATTTGGTCAAATGACATGAGCCGGAACACGTTGGAGCACTATGGAGTATCAGAACCAAACTAACCCCACGCCCCATGCTGTATCCCGGTCCCCATACTTGTAAACCCGGAGTTTTGCGGATGACGCCAGGCACTGCCCCTGTCTGGGGCTAACTTATATTCCGTCCTCTTCCTCCTAGCAAGATCCTGTCTTCAGAATCTTTTCTCCCCTTCATCCGCGTACATACTTGTGTTGCTCTAAGGGTCGACACGCCACATTCATCATGAAGACAAAGCAACAACAACAACCTATCTCGTCGTCTCATAACGAGAACGTCCCCAACGGCGAGACATCAGTTGCCCACGAAGAAACATATCAAAAGAGCTGGGTCATCGGAGGAAAATACCGGGAACAATTATACCAGGAACACTCCCAAGAGTTTGAGGGTAAATTGGTACAGGAGGTTGATTTCGACCTTCCGCTCACAGCCACCAAGCCATCTCAACATAATGGCCAGAACTTCATTGTTCTAGAATTTGCGGAGGGAGATAAGGAGAACCCGTTCAATTGGAACCCGAAGTACAAAGCGTTCATCAGTATCCTGCTCTGTGCGATGACACTCTTCATCGGTCTCGCCACCACTGCATACAGCGCCGGAATTTCACGCATGACAGAGGAATTTGGTGTTTCAACGGAAATTGGTCAATTGGGTCTTTTCTGCTTCAACTTCACCTGTGCCCTGGCACCCCTCTTTCTGGCACCCTTCTGTGAGTTGGCCGGTCGTCGTGTTGTCTACGTCGGAGCATACGTCTGCTTTGCCCTGATGTTCATCGGTCTCTCCCTCGGGAAGAATATTGCCACAATCCTCGTCTGCCGTTGCCTGCTCGGTCTGTTTGGCTGTGTCGGAACCATCCTTGTCGGTGGAACATTCGGCGATATGTATACACCTGCCCATCGCGCCATCCCAATGGCATCCTTCTCTTTCATCGCTATCTTCGGAACAGTCGCCGCACCCATCTACACCGGCTTCATCGACCAGGCTCTGGGCTGGCGCTGGGTTGAAGGTATTCAAGGCCTTGCCAACATTCCCCTCGGAATTTTGATCGTCATCTTCCTCAAGGAAACCCGCGGTGGTGTAACCCTCACCAAGCGCGCCAAGATGCTCCGCCAGAACACTGGTGACGAGCGTTTCGTCACTCACAACGATCTCGAAGCCCCCGGTGTCAAGGAAATGCTGCACAATTCATCAGTCAAGGCCATCCGCATGCTCTTCACCGAGCCAGTTGTATTTGCTTTCGGACTGTGGATCAGCTTCGCTTGGTTCCTGGCTTTCCTCTTCCTCTCCGTGATCCCGATCACTTACCAAGAGAAGCGCGGCTGGGGCGAGGGTACTTCCGGCCTGCCTTACATCGCCCTGTGCTTCGGCACAACCCTGGCATTCGGTCTGAACTTCCTGCAGATTCGCAAATACGAGAGCATCGTGGCGGACAAGAGCCGCAAGACCCAACCCGAGGACCGCTTGTACGGTGTCCTATTTGGCGCTGTCTGGCTTCCCATTGGTCTCTTCATTTACAGCTTCACTCAGTATAAGCAGCTGCACTGGTTCGGCCCGATTGTCGGACTCGCATTGATCGGTGTTGGTATCTTCTTCATCTTCGAGTCCTGCTATAGTTATACCTCGGACTGCTATGGCGAGAACTCCTCTTCCGCGATTGCTGGACAGGGATTCATGCGTAACACACTTGGTGCTGTGTCGCCGCTCTTCGCGTCGCAGTTCTTCCACAACCTCGGCAGTCAGTGGGCTGGTCTGTTGTTGGCACTGATTGCCACCCTCTTGACTTTGATCCCCTTTGTTCTGTACAAGTATGGACCTGCTCTCCGGGCACGCTCCAAGCTGGCTAGCACAATTGTGAACAGCAGCACGGATTGAGTTATGAGAATGAGAGTCAATTGCACGCGAGCAATTGATGTGAAGCATGGAAGATGAGTGCATGATACTGCACAGAATCATGAATGTATATAAGCATACGAGTCAGCATATGGTCATAGACAAGCATTAGCATAAAGTAAAATCAAGACGAGGTTGACCCTCGACGGCGTTGACGCCCACACGTGATGAACACCCATCGTGCCTTCCAAAAATAATACAAAAACACAAAGGAAGGGGCAACTCCCCGCGTTCCTTCCGTAAATGGAATGTGCTTGTCCCGATTCAGCAAGAGGGCGGTCAGTGTGGCACGTGATATCTGCCACCTCCAACCCAACCCACCCAAGGCGGTGTAAATGTTCTGCCGTCTCAAAGATCTTCACATCCGAAAATTTCACTCCACACCTCAACTTCACCCACCCGCACTTTTTACGTCTATCCTACAGGCAGTGATCCTCCGCGTGAGCCATTTCTCAAAGATCTGGTTTCTTGATACTATTCTCCTCTACCAAAATTCAAAATGGCCGAAGATAGCTCCGCCGGTAAGCTTTTTTCACCCACCGCCCAGATCGGTGCATTCCGCTAACTCTCACTTTTTCACCACACAGCCTGGCCCATCGCCGACGAGACTCTGTCTCAGTCTCTTCTGGACCTCGTCCAGCAGGCTGGTCACATCCGCCAGTTGAAGAAGGGCGCTAACGAGACCACCAAGACTCTGAACCGGTACGGCATTCATCTGACAAGAGATATAAATTATCATTACCTTGATGCTAACTTTTGTCATTTAGTGGAACTTCTGACCTCGTCATCCTGGCCGCCGACACCACCCCCTGCCCATCATTCTCCACCTGCCCCTCCTCTGTGAGGACAAGAACGTTCCTTACGTCTACGTTCCCTCCAAGATGGCTCTCGGCCGTGCCACTGGTGTCTCCCGCCCCGTGATCGCCTGCTCCATCACCACCAACGAGGCCAGTGACCTGAACGCTCAGATCCGCACCATCCGCAACCAGGTCGAGCGTCTGATGATCTAAAGTGTCTGTCGGATATGGATATTGGATAAAGGTCGGAGAGAGGATTTTATCGAGATGAGCAGAGGTGCGAGGCGGAATTTCGGCAAACCTTCTGTCCGATGGATGGGGGGTAGTTGATGATTATACCGCCTCACTCCTTTTGCTCTTGCTGTCGAGTCTTTAGCTAGAATTTGCAGCTAGATATAATTCGGATCTCTTGAGAAAATTTCTTGCTTCGTGTGTAGGTGTAGGTGTACGTGTAAATATCTGCCGAGATCGCCGCGTCTACGTGGGGTAGACTGTCAGTGCTCGTTAAGTTTCACTTGGTAGGTTGCCTGTAGATCTTGAATCAGGCTGTGGGGATGCCGTGGCGGCTTGCGAATGACACGGTAGAGTAGTCTGCTTAAAATGTGCGGAGAAGGCTGGCCCTTTGCCGGGTATGGCCTGTCGGGGTCACTCGCGTCGATAGAGCCTCAAAATTCTGCGTACCTCGCACCTTCGATGGGTATATTTGAACGGAATGACTTTGAATAGGGTGATTGTTACTATACATACATTCCACACTGTCGTCTCAGTTATGCATATAAGCACTGCATAGCCTTTGCTACTCGCAAAGATTGATTAGATGAGCCACTTAACTAAAGTGCCCCGGACCACTCTGAATTGCCGACAGATTTAATCCACCTTTCCTCGTCAGCTATCGCCCCTTTTTAATTGTCCCGGTTTCTGTTGAACGCTTAGAACCAATTGGAGTCATCTGGCAAATAGGATCACTCATCCGAACCCTAACTAAGCCCCTTCAACTGTCTCCGGCTAAAACCAATCCTTAGCGCCGAGCCCGGTGCGTCAGAACTAGCTCTAATATGCCGATCAATCAACACCAAACGGCTCTTAGCCCCCCCTGTCACCCTGACAATTTCATCTTTCCACCAAGCAGCCCCCTGGGAGTGTGGGGCAATGCCAATATCTGTCGCATCTGTCCTATGGCTGTTTCGTTTCATGGTGGGGTTCCACGCGGACGGAACATCCACCCTCGAACAAGGCGAAACAGTTCATCGGCTGCATTATGGATGTGCCACATCCTCGTACTATTCGTACTCGCACAAAGACTAGTGGAGCTGAGATGGTCTGACTGGGGTAAACGGGAGAATTCCTCCTTTGGCCGAATCCCTGTTTGAGATATAAGTACATGTCTTATCCATCTTCGTCTGTTGTCTCGCGTTGATATACGACGTCGCCCGCCGTGTCTCTGCTCTATTCTGCAGCCATCCTTTCTTTTTTTGACTTTTTTCTTCTCAGCTTTCTTTGTTATATTTTGTTTCATTTTCAACTCAATTCACCCTCGTTTTCGTAACCTTATTTCGACATCTGCGATGTTCGTCTCTTCTCTTCTTGCAATCGGCCTGGCGCCATTGCTCGCATCCGCCGCTCCCTCCTGGTCCGTCGGTCCAACAACCGACTACGCCACAAAAGCTAGCACCAAGACCTGCAGTGTCCTCGACTACGATGGCGTCGCCGATGGAAAGACTGATATCGGCCCGGCCATCAGTTCCGCCTGGGATGACTGTAAAGAGGGCGGCGTGGTGTATATCCCGTCTGGCGAGTATGCCCTCGGGTCATGGGTGACTCTGACCGGTGGAAAGAGTACCGCTATTCGTATGGATGGTACTATCTACCGCACCGGCGAGGATGGAGGTAACATGATCTTCATCGAGCATACTTCCGACTTTGAACTGTTCAGTTCCAATTCCAAGGGCGCGGTGCAGGGGTACGGGTATGAGTTCCACAAGGATGGATCTCTGAGTGGACCTCGTATTCTGCGTCTGTATGAGGTTACGGACTTTTCGGTTCATGATTTGATTCTGGTTGATGCGCCTGCTTTCCATTTCTCTATGGATACTTGCTCTAATGGTGAGGTTTATAATATGGCTATCCGTGGTGGTGACTCTGGTGGTTTGGATGGCATTGATGTGTGGTCGAATGATATCTGGATTCACGATGTAGGTGCCAGTGTATCGCTGCTCTGAAGCTGAGGTTTATATCAGTTTCAGTTGGAATTCGTTGGATAGTTGCTTATAATTACCAGGTCGAGGTCACTAACAAGGACGAGTGTGTCACTGTCAAGGTACGTATTTTCACACAAAGCTCTTGCCCTTTCTTTACTAACACGACACAGAGTCCCTCCAAGAGCATCCTGGTTGAGAACATCTACTGCAACTGGAGCGGTGGCTGCGCCATGGGCTCTCTCTCCACCGACGTTGACATCAGCGACATCACATACCGCAACATCTACACCTGGTCCTCCAACCAGATGTACATGATCAAGAGCAACGGCGGTAGTGGCTCCGTTTCCGACGTCACCCTAGAGAACTTCATCGGTATGGACCACCCTACCCAAGACCTACCAAGACCCGACAGTTCCACCCCACCTACATAACATAAACATAGATTACAGTAACTAACACCCCCAGGCCACGGCAACGCTTACTCCCTAGACATCGACCAAGCCTGGAGCAGCATGTCCACCGTCTCCGGCGACGGCGTCCAACTAAACAACATCACAATCAGCAACTGGAAAGGCACCGAAGCCAACGGCGCCGAACGCGGCCCGATCAAAGTGAACTGCGCGCCCGGTGCGCCATGCACCGACATCACAATCGAAGACTTTGCCATGTGGACCGAAGAGGGCGACTACCAGACCTACGTCTGCAACAGCGCCTACGGCTCCGGCGAGTGTTTGAAGGAGGAGAGCGGTGATGTCACTTCGTACTCGACTACTGTGACTGTTAGCACTGCGCCGACTGGGTATTCGGCTGCTTCTATGGATGCGGATTTGGCTACTGCTTTTGGAACGGATTCTGAGATTCCGATTCCTACTATTCCTACTTCTTTTTATCCTGGTGCGACGCCTTTTAGTGCGTTGGCTGCTAAGGCTAGCTCTGCTTAGATGGGAGTTGGTGGGTGATTGGGATATTTCCTGCCAGTGGAACAACCTGAGGGGTTGGAATATGATTATTTGAGCATATCCATGGATTCTGGTTCAATTTTATGCGATGCCTTGGGGTTGAAATCCTTGATTTCTCATCAACGATGGAGTACACGTATTATATATACCTAGGTATATAGTGACACTCCAGAGGTTGTTGACTAGTACCGCCTGGGCATGGATCGGGAGACCTTCAAATCTTGAAACCTTAGTGTTTATCCGCTGAAGACATAATTGCATTGAGTAAATCGATCAAGGTGAATACAGCCACTGTATTTCACTCGAAGTTGTGCTAGTCTAACAGTACATCCTAGTAGTGTTGCCCTTTTGAGCAAATGGTGTCGTCAACACAGCTCCACCTTCCTCCTTCAACCCGTGGACTGCACCAACCTCAACCTCAACTTCAACTCCCTTCAAGTCTCTCCACCGTGACTCTTTCCAACACTTCAAAGACCCTGAAAATCACGAACAAACACGAAGACGAAAACACACCCGTCGATCACGCCATGCCACGATCCAATCGAACACGAGGACAACCAAGATCCCCACCGCGATAGAGTTTGCGGGGCAATCAAAGCTACCCTGATTCGCGCTTGTTGATGCAGATTCCAGAGTTCTTGCGTAAGGGATTCGACGTTGCATCCAGCTGGCAGCAGTCCCTGTCTGTGCTAGGACAGCTTGAAAAAGACACCGAAGGAAGAGCTTGGGTATTCATATAAGAACGGAATTCTCTCTTCTCACCTAGAGAAAACAATGCCTTGAGTCCCATTTAGGACTTCCCAAACACCATCGCCATGGCCGTGGATAGCACAACAAATAAACATGATAATCATGCCGATGCGAAAACACCCTCTCAACAACCAACTCCGATCGCAGATCTCCCGGCCGAAGATGGCCCCGACGCGACCTACCGCGCCAAAGCAGACATACTCAACCGCGCGATTCAAGAAATCGGCATGGGCCGATACCAATGGCAACTCTTCGTGGTAATCGGATTCGGCTGGGCGAGCGATAATCTATGGCCGATCGTAACATCTCTAATCCTCACACCCCTCTCATACGAATTCGCCGTCTCCAAACCGCCCCTCCTAACACTCGCGCAAAACATCGGCCTCCTAGTCGGCGCCGTGTTCTGGGGCTTCGGCTGTGATATATTCGGGCGGCGCTGGGCATTCAATCTGACGATCGGAATTACCGCAATCTTCGGACTGGTAGCGGCAGGATCGCCAAATTTCGGGGCTGCGTCTACTTTCGCTGCGTTGTGGTCGCTCGGTGTTGGAGGGAATTTACCGGTTGATTCGGCGATTTTCTTGGAATTTTTACCCGGCTCGCATCAGTATTTGTTGACGGTTTTGTCGGTTGATTGGGCTTTTGCGCAGCTTTTGGCCAATTTGGTTGCTTGGCCTTTGATTGGGAAAATGACTTGCGCTGAGGCAGACGGGTGCACTAAGGGTGATAATATGGGATGGAGGTATTTCCTCATTGCCATGGGGGGTCTGGCTATGGTTATGTTTGTGTCTCGCTTCGCTTTCTTTACTATCTACGAATCGCCGAAATATCTGATGGGCAAGGGGAAGAATGACCAAGCGGTGCAGGTTGTGCATGAGGTGGCGCGTCGTAATGGCAAGACCTCGTCGCTGTCCCAGGCTGAACTGGATAGTTTGGACGAAGGTGAAGCGCATGGTCACAACGCAAGAACAATTGTGCGACAGAGGCTGGAGAAGCTTAAGTTCAATCACATTCGCGCGTTGTTCGATACGCCCAAACGTGCTTTCTCAACGACTTTGATTGTTCTTGTCTGGGCCTTTATTGGTCTCGGATTCCCTCTGTACAACGCCTTCCTCCCATATATCCAACAATCTCGCGGAGCGGAATTCGGCGACGGCTCCGTTTACATCACCTACCGGAACTCCCTCATTAATTCAACGATGGGTATCCCCGGCTGTCTGCTGGGTGGACTTCTTGTGGAACTCCCTAATTTCGGAAGAAAGGGTGCTCTGTCAGTTTCAACGGCTCTCACGGGCGCTTTCCTTCTCGCGTCAACGACAGCGACAACTTCGAATGCTTTGCTCGGGTGGAACTGTGCTTTCACCTTCATGAGCAGTCTCATGTATGCTGTGCTGTATGCGTATACGCCGGAGATATTCCTGACAAAAGATCGCGGCACGGGGAATGCCCTGACAGCATCTGCGAATCGCATTTTCGGAATTATGGCTCCTATCATTGCCATGTTTGCCAACCTTCAGACTGCCGCTCCGGTGTATGTCAGTGGTGCATTGTTCATAGCGGCCGGCATTCTGGTCGTTTTTATGCCTTACGAGTCACGAGGGAAGGCGAGTCTTTAGTTCGGTTCAGGAAGAAGGTACTTATTTTCGAACCCTGGGGGACTACCCTGCAGTTCTCGTGACAGATACATGTATCTACCAACCGTGCATCTCCACAGAGACATCCATACATAAATAAATAGGAACGTCAGCATGTACATTATATCATTGATAACCAGTCCCAGGTAGAACCTGGAAATGCAATAACAAGCGCATTGACCATGCTTAGTCCGCACTGCCCCCAAATTAATATAAAACACTTCCAATAACCAGGGTACGATCCACCGAATTCCCCAGGACAAGATATGGAGGCGATGATGTCATTCCGCAAAACAGGCACGAGGCCGTTACGCAACTGTCATACAACTAACCTCTACGGAGTACTGTAAGACTGGGAATACAGTAACCCATCATTAATGTGAGAAAGTTCAAATTCAACAAACATCAGCAACCCATCCTGCACAGAGGGAAAATCGTGATCCACAAAGCCGTTGCCGACGGGGAATTTCAACCAATACCATCTATATCCAGGGCTTAACGCGACTCCATCCCTGATAATGAGATCAAGGATGTGAATACCCCACCCTGGATGTCACTACGTCAGGAAAGATATAACTGGTTCGATGGCCCTGGCTTGTAAAGTGACAGGCCAGATGTGGGGATGTGATTTGTTGGCCGCGTGGCGGGGGTGTTGTATTTTCCAGATAGTGACAATGTGGCTTGTCGGACGCATTATATCATATTTCGTAAGATGGCTGCTGGGTTGGTATTTAAACTTGTTGCGATCGCGATGTTGAGCTAAAGGTTTATTTCAACTTGAACATTTTCATCAAAGATTTACTTATCGCTTTGACTCGAACTTCAAATTCTCCCCGTCTCATCCATCCAATAACATCTATCCCATATACAAAATGTCCCAAGACAACAGTAACAGTACGTTCCCATAAAATCCCACACCCTCTCTCATCACACCGCGATTCAATTAACTAACCCTCCACCACCTAGATGGCGGCCTCCTCGGCGGACTCACAGACACCCTCGGCAAAACAGTCGGCGGCGTAACAAACACAGTCGGAGGTGCGGTCGGTGGACTTGGCAACACGGTCGGCGGCGTAACAGAAGGCGTGGGACAAACAGTTTCTGGCGCGACTGAGGGCCTGGGAAATACCACCAAGGGCGTTGGTCAGGGTGTTCAGAATGGTGTGTCCAGTGTTGGGGGTAAGGATCAAACTGCTGAGAACCCGCTTGGTTTGAACAAATAGATTAAGTTCTTCCGATCTTGTGTTATTGAAGGGGGGTTTTTTGAATCTGAGGGGGAATAGTGGGGTTAATGTTCGATTATGTTTTATTATTTTGAATTCAAATGATTATGATTTTTGGAATGTTCCAGTTCGGTTCTTTTGTTGGACACGGTGGTGTACTAGTTTACTACTGCCATGCAGATGCGATGTTGGTACATTATACTATACCCCAAATAATAGTATGAGAGTCAAAGTATTGATCACAATTTCAAAACAGGGAGCCTGAGTAACAGGTTGATTCTTCAGGACTGTTCCTGTCATGCAGGCTTTACCCGATTTGGTCTTTCTCCTGGAGTGTGGGGAAACTGAAAATTGACGTAGATCCTCTTTCTGATTTGGAATTTAAGTTCGCAAGCTACTCTAGTTAATCTTTGTCAAGCGAGTAGTAAGTACTGTATTTTTCGCATTGTGAAAGAGCCGCAATCGGGTATATTCTCTCCAATTTTGGTCCTACCAGGGAAGCAGCTGTTGTACTAGTAGTCAAATTCGAAAATCCTGCTTTGGAATATTAAAGTACCGTGACCTCAAAATATTTCAAATTTATATCACTTACGCTGTGCTTGACATCCAACTTGACGGCGGAAAGTGGACTTCATTGGGAATGTGGGGATGGACCCTGAAGCGGATGCGAATTGCGTGCCGACAATCCCGAATCTCGGCCGACACCGATCAACGAGTCATACCTCGAGAGCCTCTGAACACTTCCAACCAGATGCTTCTTTGTTTTTCAAACAACTATCTGCAGTGAAATTGAGGACAATTGAATTCCACAACAGAAACTTCCTCATTTCTGTACTTCAACCATGTCATCGAATCCTCCTCGCCAAAACACACAATCGCCACCTGAAGCTCAAACCACCCCATCTGCAAACCCATCGCAGACAAGTACCTCAAAATATGAACATGGATGGAGAAGAGTTGTTCGCAATTTCACCCCATCGTCAGGCCCCTACCTTCTCACACATTCACATTCGTCACATCCACCCACTAATCCCCAGCTAGATGGTTCTCCGTAACAATGGGCACAGGAATAGTCTCAATCCTCCTCCACAACCTCCCCTACAACGGAATATGGCTCTACTGGATCTCAGTAGTAATATTTGCCCTAAACGTCCTCCTCTTCGCACTGGGGACTATAATCAGTTTTCTCCGATACACACTCTACCCCGAGATCTTCACAGTGATGATCACGCACCCGGTACAGTCAATGTTCATAGGAACATTTCCAATGGGTCTCGCGACGATAATTAACATGGTCGTTTTTGTGTGCGTACCTGTTTGGGGTGAATGGGTTAGATATTTTGCGTGGGGACTTTGGATTTTCGACGCGGTTGTTTCGGTTTTGACGGCTCTTTCGTTGCCTTTTATTTTGTGAGATTGGGACCCCTCTCCCTTCCTCCATACAATCCGAGAGACTAATGAGACCCGGTGATAAATAGAATGGCCAATGGAAGCGAGACGCATTTATCTTCTATGACGGCCGTTTGGCTCTTACCGATTGTTAGCTGTATTGTTGCGGCTTCGTCGGGGGCAGTTGTTGCCGAGATCCTGCCTAATGAACAGTATGCTCTGTGGACAGTTATCGCGAGCTATGTGCTTTGGGGAATGGGTCTTCCGCTTGCTTTGATGGTGATGGTTATTTATCTGATGCGATTGACTCTTCACAAATTGCCGCCGAAAGCGGTGATTGTGAGTGTATTTCTTCCTTTGGGTCCGCTTGGGCAGGGGGGATATGGGTGAGTACTAGTATTATATACTTCTCCTTTTATTTCTGGTCTGGTCGAGGATTCGAATCTCATTCACTGATTGAATTATGTGTGTTCAGTGCAATGAAACTAGGCCAATGTGCCCAACTGATCTTCCCGCAAACGAAGACGTTGGAACAATCGTCCGGGTCTACATTTTACACGTTGGGATTTCTGGTTGCACTGATTCTCTGGGCCTTTGGACTTGTTTGGTTGTTTTTTGCGTCTGCCTCGATTGTAAGGTCGAAGAGCTTTCCGTTTAATATTGGGTGGTGGGGATTTACGTTTCCGTTGGGGGTGTTTGCGGCGAGTACGGTGCAGATGGGGAATGAACTTCCTTCGAAGTTTTTCCATATTCTCGGGACGGTACGTATTTCAAGGCAATCTAAGCTGTATTTGTGAAGTGTTTGCTAATTTGGGTTATTTTTACAGATTTTGTCTGTTTTGGTGGTGATGCTGTGGATGGTGGTTAGTATGGGGACTTTGCGAGGGGTGGTGTCTGGGAAACTGTTCCACGCGCCGTGTCTGGGGGATTTGAAGGGAGGGAAGGAGGGGGAGGGGGGAAAGAGGAGGGGAAAAGAGGTGTAATACTAGATAATCTATGGCATACAGTGTATAGTATACACTGTAGTCTCTATGTATACACCGTACTAGTTATAGTTACACCCTGCGGGTGTATAGTATCACGTGATGTGGAGAAAATAAATTATTTTTTCTTCCCCCTCGAATTGTCGTTAGATCAGATCCAGCCCGTCATCCACTTTTGGTCTTGTCCTTGTTCCTCCCATCTGGCCTACTTGGCTTGTTTGGTCTGCCTCTTCCTTTTTTTCTCTTTTTTTTCCCTGTCAGACCCTGTTGGACTTGACCTTGTCTTCCCCCCTGATTTCCCTCTCTGTGTGCGCCCGCTGCTGATTTCTCAACTCAACTCGACTGCGCTGACGGCGGCTCCGGGCAGAAGTAGCCCCTAATCCTTTTTGGGATTCCCGATTGGGTTTGTGGGTGCCTTGACACCTTGCTACCTTAGTGCCTTGCTGCCTTGCTGCCTCACTCGCCTCTCGTTCGGCCGGAACAACAAAACACGCGGCGCGCCCAGATCGCCCCAGTCCAGTCCAGCTTGTACCTTTGGCTCTTGCGGCGATTGTCTGCTGTCGTTGCGCTCTGCGTCGACTTTGACTCGTGTGGTCCTCTTTCATGCGCCCGTTCGTCCAGATTTCCTCCTCCACCCCCGGTCGCATGGATCTCGCGTGACTCGACCAAAAAGCAACCAACCTGAATTTCGCCGCTGACGGCAACCTTCAAAGAGAACACACCTCGAAGATGATGGGATACGGGGGTCAACCCTTTCATCCCCAGCAGTCACAGCAGCACCAACAGCAACAGCAACACCAGCAACATCAGCAATCCCAACAAACACATCCTTCATCCCAACCGCAACATCCCCTCGGCTCCCAGCGCCAACAGACCCCATCGTTAGGCGCAACCCCGAACCTATCACAACATGGATCTCCATACGCAGGCAATAAAACTCTCTTCCGACCTCCTCCCCAGCAGAATTATACCACCGCCCAGTCTCCCGATATGCGCAAGATGGCCCCAACGTCGGGCCCACTCGCGGGGTATCCCCCAACGACCAGCTTTGCGCAATTCCCCGGACACTTCGCCCCGCAAGGTTCTCCAGATCTGATGGGGAGGAATCAAGATCCAATGGCGTTGCACAACATGCAGAATATGCAACGCGGTTATAGTCTAGCTCATCTACGCCAACCGCCGGGGATGAGTCCTTCCGCGGCAATTTCGCATGGCCAAGGTATGGGCGTCTCGTCTCCTCAGCAGTCCATGAACCGTCTGCCTCACTCAGGTGTTCAGCAACGAGAGAACCACCCTTCTGCCAGTCCATCCATGGCTAGTCCTTCTATGTTTGCCATCAACCAGCAGCGACAATCGCATTCCCAACCACAGTCGCCCCAACAAACGCAACAGCAAATACAGCAAAGACAACAACAGCAATACCAGCAACAGAAGCAGCTCCAGCAACAGCAGCAGCAGATGATTGAGCAGCAACAGCGCCATGAGCAGCAGCAACGTATCGAGCAACAACGGCTCGAACAGCAACGCCAGGAACAGCAGCGCCTAGAGCAACAACAACGAGCGGAGCAGCAACGGATAGAACAACAGCGGGCGGAACGACGTGCTGAGCAACAGCGACAGGAGCAACAAAAGCGCCTTGAGAAGCAGAGACTGGAACAACAGCAGCTGGAACGAAAAAAGCAGGAGCAGCTGGAGAAAGAGCGTGTAGAAAAGGAGCGCGCGGCGGAGCAACAGAGGTTGGAACAACAACGACTGGAGCGGCAACGTTTGGAACAACAGCGGCTCGATCAACAAAACGCAGAGCAGCAGAAGCAGCAACTTGAGCAACAAAGGTTACAAAAGCTTCAGCAGCAACAAGCCCAACATTCCTACCAGCACCAAAACTCCTTTCAATCGCATCCGCAAGGCCAATTCAACCAATATCAACCGCCCCAGTCACGGTATCAGTTCCAACCTCAAGGTCAAGCCCAAGCCCAAGCTCAAGCCCAAGCTCAATACACCCAATCCCCGCAACAGTCCCGACAATCTCAATTCACCCCGACTCAGTTCCAGCACTATCAACCGCCATCTCAACCAGTTCAGCCGTCCCAGCCACAAATCGATCAATCAACGGGCTCCTTCATGCCTCCACCCCGCCAGCCTGTTCAAGGAAATGTCATCTCTCAGTCCGAGTCGCATGTCAAATCTGAGCCGCAAAGCCCTGCGCCGAAAAAGAAGTCGAAACCCCGTCATTCTACGGTCAACAAGTCCCAAGCTGCATATCAGCATTCGTTTCAGGCGGTGCCTTCTATTCCAGCTACTGCCCCTCCCCCCCGCTTCCGTCTCTACGTCCATGACCTCTGCAATTCCCAGGGCCACCCCAACGCCAGCTTTACAACAAAATGGCCATGTCCAATTAACTCCGGTCGCGGGCACGAACGGGGAGGTACCGCAAACCCCGACACGCCGCAAACGAGGTCGGCCTCGAAAAGAAGAAGTTGCGGCAAGAAATGCAGCCGCGGCAGCGCACGCGGCAGCTACTGGCCAGCCCCTCCCAGCCTCACATCCCGGACAGGCCTCGTTTGGCCCCAATATGACGCCCGTAGCGCTCATACCGGGAACGAGCACCCCACAACGAACCATAATGGGCCCGGATGGAACCCCATTGCCCCTCAAAAGGAAACGTGGACGGCCACGTAAGGCCGATCAAATTGCCTGGGCTCAGGCTACCGGACAGCCTTTGCCGCCGCCAAAACCGAAGAAGCCATATGTTCCCAAGCCTGGAACGGGCCGACCTCGTGGGAGACCTCGAAAAGCTGATGTTGCTGCAGCTGCAGCTGCGGCCGCCGCCGCCGCCGGTGGCACAGCAAATGGCGATCAGGCACAAGGAGACAAACCAAGCTTACCGGCTCACACGTCAGATACAAACGCAGCCCAGAAGCGAGCCGCTCTAGTAAAGGACGATGCCCACAAACATACTGGTGCGACACCACCTTACCCCCAGCAGGGCCAACACCATATGTCAATGCCAGGCCAACCCCAGCTGCAAGGCCAACAGCCATTGCAACAGCAACAGCAGCAGCAACAGCACCAGTCAATGTCCTCACAAAGCCAATCCCACCCGCATTCTGGTCTGTCGGCACACTCGGGCTTGCCCTTCATTTCGCCACAGACACAAGGCATGTCTCTTCCACAACATGCGCAGCAGCAACTGCAACAGCAACCTGGCCAGCAACACATGGGACAGCAAGGGCAGCACATGCAGCAGCAGAGTCAGCACCACGCATCAAGCCAGCAGGTCCTTCCACAGCCAGGCCAGCCGCTAATGCCGCACCTACAAATGCATCAGCAGCCACCCATCAATGCTTCACGGCCAACACCCCCTCAGCAATACATGCAAATGCCGCCTATGCACAGTCTGCAGCACCCGTCTATACAGGCCCACCAAACTGCCCAAGCCCCGGTTCAAGCACAGCCACAAGGCCGATCTCCCAATCAGCAACAGCCGCACTCCCAATCGCAATCACCGGCCCCGCCTAGACCTGCCCCGCAATACCAGCATCAACATACCTTCCAGGTCCAGCTGCAGCCACAACCAACATAACATAACCGCCCATTTTTCATCCCATCTCACAACCCTCCGACATCTCACTGTCAATATACCTCACTTCGGCGTTTACGTTCCAGCCCTACTTTACAAATAACCTCACCCCATCTCTTGCATTGATTCATTTGATTGATGTCCACGACACATTCTATTCCATTCCCATATTCCCCCAGTTCGAGTGAAATTTTTTTCTTCCATCAATTTTGCTTTTCTACTCTGTTCTCCTGCTCTTGTTCTCGCATATATTCTATATCGCATGTCTCATGTCCCGTCCTGTCCCATCAACGGCCTCCGACTTGACTCCTCTCTGATCGATCAAACGGTCGAGTATATTTCCGGCGGCGTTCTGCGTGTTTTTATCCCATTCTCCCTTCTCTCTTCTCTCCGTTTTCATGTTCGCATGGGCATTGTTTGGATATGGGCTTGTTCTGATTTTTTTTTCCCGTTTATTCGCATTTCCCCTTTCATGTCTTTGTCTTGCCTGATCTTGTGTCTTGTGCATGTATTGTCTTGTCCTGCTTAGCCGGTGGTCCTCTTGTCTTAAATATCTAATGCTGTAGTACATATTCCTAATTTATGGGCGAATACCTGCATTGTTTTTCACTTGTCAAAACTTCTACTATCATTACGCATTCCCTGATTCCATCGCCACGTCCACAATTTCATCTTCGTGTTCCATCTATCCCCGGGACCGACTTGTCGACTCGTAATGACAAACCACCTGCAACTGAGCACCTATAGCATTACGTCTATGACCTACTTTGGTAGGTATATCCATTCCATGCAGCCCTCCAATCGAACAGTGCTCACCTACACTAATGCACGGCGGCTACGCTAATCTTAAAGCCCTAGGTGATCTGACCACCGCCGGCGCACTCTATCTCAACACAGCATAGAAAAGGTAGCGCACGAAAATGAATACTTCAACTATCTCATGATTATATCCATTCTGCAAGTTCATCTAAAATTTTTCTCAATACCAGCAATCTTTGCAGAAAGAATCGTCGATGAAACCAAGTCCGAAAGCGAGTGGGGTCTTTTCTATCTACTTTCTACTCGGACCATAACCAGACGGACACAAATCCCTCAATTTACAAAATACGAGGGATTAAAAAGCCAAGAGCCGTTGGTGACCATGTGGACATTCTGCGCGGAGTAAAGGACATAATATCTCCATTCAGGTACGATTTCCATTCCGAAGAGGCCTTAGCACATATTTTGTGGGGGATGGTTATCATTCGCCGTTTTCGGAACAGTAGAGTCGGTAAAGAATCCCGCCATGCGCCCCCATGAACAAATAAATATTGGCATTGACAAGGTTTGCGCGGGAATACTGAGAAGTTATTGCGACCGTATTCAATATTTGTGGAACAGTTCGTCATTGAGCTCTCTCGTAGATATGCGGTGTGATGTTCGGGGTTGGCTGGTTCCAAGGTTAGAGTGGGGGGAGATGAACTCATAGTCTGATATTCTCTTAAAGTGAGCAAATTAGCAAACTCGAATTTGCGGTTCATTACTATCTGAACTCTATCACTAATGCTGACAGCATATCTGGTCCGCTTTCTGGGGTTCACCGTTTAGGATAATGGGTGTGTCGTGTGGGGTCAAGTGAGGTATTACAAGATATCTTGCTGCCCTTTTCCTCACATCTCTGTTCACCACCAACCCCAGATTTTGTCTGTGTCAAGCTCTATTGAATCTAAGTCATTGGATCGAAGCTGTTTGATTCAGTTTTGAGTTTATTTCCTATCACTAGTCCAGCTAGGAGCTCTCTTCTATCTCCCATTCGTTTCCATGACCATTGCCTCCATTTGGAACTTACCAGGTTATCTTACTCGACGGAAAATTAAACATCACCAATTACCCAGAGCAACCATATCTGCAAGCGACGATAAGAGAAATAACCGATACACCCCAGTGCGTCAAGAGAAATCTTTATCGATAAAAAAATCCGCCCAGCAACGATACTCCGGAAATGGACACATATCCGGAAATGGACATCAACCTTGCGTCTCAGTCACGACCACCTTCAATCCAGTCCGAACCTCATATCACAAAGCCAAGCGACTCACATCGAAAAGAGCCGAAATCATCTTTCCCATGCGACGATGCCGGAAAGGTAGAAACAGGTTCCATCATGACTGACAACCTGGGCGACCAAGAGGTCCTGAGCAACCAGGACACGATCAATTATCGAACATGTAGCTGGCAAAAGGTAGGCCGGTGAAGTTGAAGATCTCCTTCTCTTCAGGGATTCGCTGAACTGATAATTTCTATCTAGACCGCTGCCTTGCTATTCTCGGAATACATCTGCATAGCCATCATGTCGTTCCCTTGGTCATATTCGGTTCTCGGGCTGATCCCGGGTCTGCTGTTAACTTTGGCTATTGCGATGATAGTTCTCTATACATCGTTGACAATATGGTGCGTCTTGCCTTTACTGATTTTAATCATCAGTGGAAAATGAATTAAGCAATATGCAGGAAATTCTGCCTGCGACACCCCAAAGTTCGGGATGTTTGCGATATTAGTAAAATATTGTTCTTCGATTCAGATATCGTGTGGTACATCGCGGCCGCGATGTTCTTGCTGAACAATACTTTCATTCAGGTATACCTATCCCAATGCACGAATCTCTGTGTGAGAGTGTCCAAGCTGTGAAAAGTTATTGACACGATTTCCAGGCACTCCATTGTCTAGTCGGGGCCGAGTATCTAAACACAGTCTCAGGCCACCCATTCTGCACAGTTGCCTTGGCCCTCATAACAGCAATAGTGTCATTCTTCTGCTCACTACCACGAACATTCGGCACCTTATCAAAAATAGGAACATTCTCCGCCATAGCGACATTCATCTCCATCCTCCTGGCCGTAATATTCGCAGGAATCCAAGAGCACCCCTTCGGCTGGAACGAAGCCACCGGAGACCCTGTTATACGCAATTTCCCAGCGCCGGGGACAACATTCGTTCAAGGAATGAGCGCATTCCTAAATATCAGCTTCACATTCATAGGCCAGATTACTATCCCCAGCTTCATCGCGGAAATGAAAGAGCCTGAGGATTTCTGGAAATCCGTCGCAGCAGTAACAATTGCCGAAATCATTCTATTCACGATCGTCGGTGCGCTCATTTACGTCTTTGTCGGAAATCAATACATGACTTCGCCAGCTTTCGCCTCATTGGGAAACGACATCTACCTGAAAATTTCCTTCTCGTTCATGGTTCCCACGCTCATATTTCTCGGCGTTCTTTACGCATCAGTTTCCGCGAGATTTATATTCTTCCGCATGTTTGAGGGCACTCGTCATAAAGCGAATCATACGATTATTGGATGGCTCAGTTGGGCAGCTATCCTTTTATTCCTTTGGACTGTTGCGTGGATTATTTCAGAAATCATTCCATTCTTTACGAATTTGCTTTCGATCATGAGTGCGATTTTTGGCTCCTATTTTGGCTTTATTCTTTGGGGGTTTGCTTGGATTCGGATGCGGCAGGCTGAGAATCCTAATCTTATGAAAAGGAAGAGTATGAGGGAATGGGTTGAGTTGGTATTTAACGTGCTTATTATTTGTATTGGGTTTTTGTTTTTGGGGCCGGGGACTTTTGTGAGTTTTATTCCTGCTTTCCCTTTCACTTCACGGTATATGCTTTGGGGTCTTGTGACTGACTGGCTTTGTGCATGTTCTAGGCTTCGGTGCAATCGGTTGTTGACAGTTACAGGTCGGGTGGATTTGGACAGGCTTTTTCGTGTGCTAGCAATGGATTACACTGATCCTAGTGTGGAATTTATTTAAGACTTGTTCATTTTCGAAGTTCTCGAGGTCAAGTTCAACTTGAAGACCTGGAGCCCTGGCTGCGGGCTCAATAGTACCGACTCGGATACATAATATACCTCCAGGGTTCTGTACCCTGTGTGTTCAACCTTGGAAGTTGGTCAAGCAGTAGAACTTTCCGATTCTCTTTGAAACTTGAATAAGCTTGTCGCGGGCGTGAATATCCATTTACTTTTAGTCGGAGTACAACTGTCAAAGGTTTCGCACGCCTGTGCAAGAATCGATGAATCGATTCCGGACATTCCAAATTATGGACTCTAGCCCCCGCGGATTGAGCCTTTAGAGCCTTCTTGGAAACCTGGAACCTTGGAACAAATGAGGAACGTTATTGTTGAAGGTGAATTAAGGGGGATTTTCTAATGCAAATATTCTCATGCATAGCCCCCACGTGAAATTACAGAGGGACAACCCTTCCCGGAAACAGCCACAAGTACAAAACTCAAGATTATCAGCCCGTACCTACTATCCGATTTATAGTATATGTTCAAGTTCCCCGCATAGATTGCAAATCTCATAGTTGGTAGTAGTAGCATCGGATTTCACAACTATGGGAAAGAGGTTAATTGGAACCAAAAGTTTCAAGTTCTTGTACTTGTAGGTTTGAAAAATTAAACAATCAGTTGAGTTTTCTATTTGTCAACCTCGAATCAAAACTGAGCGGAATCATGAAATTGAAATTCGTTGGTCGCGTTGATAATCATGATCATGATATACATCACAGATAGTACTACCGGGCGGTAGAGTCGATAATCCAGTGTAGAACAGCCTTCGGGGCTGGACTCAAGAGTACGTTGGCAATGCTCCTCATTAATTAATCAAAGTAACCCTCCCCAGCACCACCCTCAAAATCCACCAAATCATCCAATCTCGTCAGTCGTTCATCCATATGAATATCACCACCAGGAAGCGTCTCCGCACTGGGCCAATCCGACAAGTCGAGAGCCAATCCCGGCGCAATTTTCTGCACCAGTCCATCACAAAGCTTAAACGCACGACAGGCCGCAGGGTCCATCTCAGCCATTGTGTGAATCCACATGAGAGCCTTCTTAGTCCCCGCAACTGCGATGTTTAGATCCGCCTCCAGGAGTGGACGGGGCGGGGTCCAAGATGGGGTGGTGTTTGAGGACTGCGATGTCGATTTTTCCGAGTTATCGACACTGACATTCATCGGAGGGGATGAGAAGGAACAATAGGATAGTCCGAGGAGGAGGGCGGTCGTGGATTGCATGAGGAAATGCAGGACGCTCCACCAGGGTGTCTTGTGGGCAATCCAGGAGAGTTCGGGGGTATCTGGCAAGATTGAGATGAGGGAGCATGCGGCTTGGAGGCAGTTTGTTGCCATTTCTGCGCGGAGTTTGGCGCGTGCGGATGGTTGTGATTGTTGTGGGTTTGCAGGGTTAGGACTGGCGTTGGGTGGTGTACTCGATGATTGGGTAAGACACGGTCTGCAGAGAGTGATTCTTGCAGAGTAGTAATTCATCGCCAGGCAGACTCTTTCCCGTGTGCATGGAAGAGAATCATCATCCAGGTTGGGATTGACTTTCCAGTACCCAGTGTCTGGGAGACTGAACTGGTAGCTGGGGGTGAGTTTAGAAACCCAGCGATCGAAGTTCCGACTGTAACTTTGAATTCGAAATTCCGTCTGACTGGCGCTTTCACGGATGCCCTCAATGCTATAGACCTTGCCAAGAACGGCTTGCGAGATGAGAGTCAGATCGACGAGATGATGGAAGAAGAGCGACGGCGATGGATCGCGGGATGCAATCCAAGCAGCCGACTGTTTGCGCTGCGTCTGTTTTTCCAAGAGGGTGGGCCTGAGTTGATTCTCACGGCGTGTTGAGTTCTGAACTAGCAGCTGGACCTCGGGATCATCGAATGCCTCTTCCTCAGCTGGCATCGGGAGTGGTACAGAGCAAAGGCTATCGCCCACACAGGAGGCTCGGCCATTCATTGAGATGAGTAGGTGTTCCAGCGAATAGATGGACCACCATAATCTACCACGGGCCTCCTTGGCTCCATCGTGAATGCGACCGTCAGTATTGCGAAGATTGATGCCAAGCGAGAGCGCAGAGTGTAGTGCCATGTTGGAAAACTTGGATGATCTGTTTTTGTTAGAATAGTTCAATGTCAGTTGCCTCTGACGTGGTGCGATCACATACCGGTTGATCTGTCCCAGGCACAGAAGGTACAAGGCCATCAGAAGCTCAAGCTGAGTTTGCTGCAAATCTGGGTGGTCAAACAGAATATTCTCGTCGAAAACCAATTTCCGTGCTCGGGCTAAGTAAACTGAGTCATCCTCTTGGCGACTAGCATTGGGCTCAGCGAGCTGAGCATAGTGGCATCCGATGGCGAAAATCATATTGAGAATTCCGAGCCATTTTCGAGGTGGGTTGGATGGGATGTCATAAAACTGCCGATACTGGGCGACATACGTCGTTCTTCGAATCGCTGGGAAGGATGGGTGAACAAAAGTCAGGTAGGTATTGAAGTATTCGTCGGCGAGGGCACGGGGCGGCACGGCGAAGGGGTCGGCGTCGTCGAGCGGTGGGATGGCCAGGTCGTCCAAATGATAGTTCATAATGTGGATGGAAACATCGCGAGACCGCTTCCGGTGGGAAGAGGATTGGGCGTCACTCGAATAAAACGGCGTGATGGGAGAAAGGGATAGAGTAGAGTCGCGATCGACATTATGCTCCAGACGTTGCATCCACGAGATCTCGGAATTCTTGCCAAAGAAGCCAGCCGCTCGAGTATTCTCATCGCGGTTCAAATCTTCATCCACCTCATCGATATCCTCGAGAGATCCAACAGAAGAATCCGAGTCCTCGCCATCATTGCCGGTGTCGAACTTGTTGGCGCCTTTACACTGTATGGATGACGAATTCGTCAAATTCTGAAGTCGCGAAAGGTGGTTATGCTTGACGATACAATTGGTTGTCGAGACTTACCTTCAGCGTTTTTCGAATTTTGCGTGCTGTGTGCGGTTCCACTTCTGTTTCCAAGCTGCGCAGCAGGTGCTCATAATGCTCCACACGATGTCCGAGAAGCTGTAACTCCTTCTGTTCTCTCACCCGCTTGACATCTTCATAGGAGCATTGGTTGTTGTGGTAGTTACATTGTCCACATGTTGGCTTTACCCCGTCGCACTTGATTTTTCGTTGTCGGCACGCTTCACAGGCTCGAGCTGAGCGTCGACGTCCCCGATTGATATTCGGCCCGGTGATGCGGGGTATAGCGACCTTGCTGCCATGCATATTGTTATGCTCTACGGGATTCCGAATGGGAGGGGAGGGTAAGTGTGGTTGCAGCATGTTTAAGTCCATGGACCGCGTGGGCGCTATAGACATTTCACCATTAGACATTGATGTTTCGGGATTAACGACCAGAGGTGGCGTCCAGTTTGGATGATTCGTGTTATTAACAGAGATGTCGTACCCCTGACTGCTCCGACGAGACATGATGGCAGGGGTGGTGGAGGTATAGAGTTGTGAGCAACATGCGTTTGGTCGAGTCGATCAAGTAGGTTGGTTTATAAAATTTGATAGCCGACCGATAGATGAAGGAGCGAGGATGAAATGAGGCACGAGTTTATTAATAAGTCAAGTGAAGTAGTTCCACTCACCCCACTCCAACATCTCCTCAGCCAGGGACAATCTTTAATCTGATTTGGCGAAGTCGGTCAACCTCTCGCGGGGAGGTAGTCATAGCTCCCGGCTGTGTGGAGTGGGTCAAGAACATGCACTATGAGAGGCCAGCAAGGCCAGTGCGAGCGCAAACCAGAGGGCGCAAATTAGAAGGCGGACGGGCTAAATAGAAAAAGATCATCGAATGCGGATTTTGCTGGTTAATCGTTCAACACTCCCTGGTTCCAGCTCAGGTTCCGGAACTATGACTGGATCTGAGCTGTAATGTATCAGGTTTTGGGTCGAGGCAACGGGTGACCATATGATATCATAACCGAAATATCTAACAAATCAAGGGTCTGGTCGTACCAGGGTTAATCTTCCCTAATTCCGCATGGAAGAGGGGACACGCACGCCACCCGCGATCGACAGATACTAGCGAGGATCAGCATGGAGCCGGATACTGTCGTGCAGGTAAAATGCTGTCCTTCCCAAGACTGAGGCTCTCATATCGATCCAACATGTCGGAAAGACCCAAGCCGGGATAATCCTGGAGGCTCTGGCCTTCGCCAATGCCGTGGTACTTTTCATCTCGGTTGAGCTTCTCCAAGCCCTCCGCGTAATCATCAAAACGCGAGTGGCCGCGGTTGGTCGGTTCCTCGTCAAAAAGGTCCTTTAACTCGTCCGGGACGGAACTGGCGTCGCGAATACGATCGCCTTGCGCCTTAGCTCGAACTGATTGTCGGAAGATATGGAAGAGATTGCGACCCAAGGCGGAGCGACTAGCCACAATCGATAATGCACTAGCAAGGGATAGGAAGTCCTGGTCGAGGACATTGAATGATTGGTGCTCCATCATCGTGAAAAGGGCCAGAGTGATAGCGTACAGAGCGAACGGGTGGGCCCGACTCATTCCGTACTCGCGACGATGGAGACGAGTTAGTGCTGCAATACCCTGTGCGGCCGACTGCGTTACATTCCAGGCAGTGTATTTGGGTTCTGGTGAATATCGTGGGCTCTCGGGCGTTTTCGGTGCATCGGAGGAGTTGGAGGAGTCATAGGGGACGCAGCTGAACAGATTTACAGCGAGAGTATGGAATCGCATTCTTGAATGAGTCGCGTGAGCCACTTGCTGAAGAAGCATAGGAAAATAGAACCCTCCAGGGCTACTCACAATAGCAATATTAAATGCGGCGGCATCGCACCATCAAATTCATCCGGCAACAACTCTTTCCACCGGATCAACCGCTCGTATAAATCCTCGCGACTCAACTGCTGATGTCTTTCCTCGCCAAACATACTCCGCGAGATATCGCGCGCAATGGTCGACAAATTACACGCCTCATCAAAGTACAAACTGATCTCAGACGGTCGCGACTGCCGATGCGTCGGATACGGTCTCCAGAGAAGCTGATCTTGACCAACATCGCGACCAACACGAGGCATATTGACATGGGCAATGAGACAAGGGCGAAGAAAGCCCGTATGAACCATCCTGCACCTTGTTAGCTTGTCAATCCCGAGCGCAGTTGGTTGTGTTCACCCACGTATCGATATTGAACAGTCCCCACGCCGTCCGCCGACACGAAGCATCCATGTCCCTGGACAATTGCTCGCTAGTAATGTGCGGACCGGAACTGCCCACAAGTCCGAGCGATTCGCCCATACGGATGGCCTCATGAAGCATGATATATCCCAGATCATCGTCACGAGACATCGCGTACCGCTCATACATCAGAAGGGTACCCTGCAGCGTAGCCAGGCTGGGTCTGGAGGGAGAATCCGCTTTGAGTCGTTCTGCTTCAGCGAGGAAGTCACATCCTTTGGAGGAAATGTCGCCGGGGATGACATATGCTTCAGAGAATTCAGAGAAATACTGAAAGCATCGCACCGATCAGCATCAGAATCATTCAAGCGTTGGAGGCTCGAACGAGATAAAATGGTGAACATGAACAAACCCCAAAGCAAGGCATATCAAAAAGAAACAACTTGAACTCACACAGGCATTACTCAAAAGCGCATTCACCAAAAATGCACTACAAAATTCCCCCTCCCTCGGCCAGTCCCACCAGGAGCACCCATATACTTCAAAAACACATCTTGATCCAAAAACGCATTCACAGGATAATCCCAAGTAAAATACAACGAGACAAGATGCGAAACAAGATCATCATCATTCGTCACAGCCGTCCAAGGCTTAGCGGGGACTTTAATCGGCGCCTCATCGCAGATATAGTGGAGATCCATAACTTTACTGCGAAATGGCGGCTCGGTTCCCTCGACGTTAAAGATATCTTTAACATCTTCCAGTTTGGAAATGGTGGATTGAATCTTTTCTTTGTCCATTGGCGTTCTGGCCGTGTCGCTTGCTGCTAGACTCGAGCCCGAAGCACGAGATGCCGAAGTCGATATTGAAGTTGAAGTCGATGCTGAAACAGAGCCCGTTTTCATCGCGGGAACTAAAGAATCAGAAATATCCCCTGATCCCCCCTGCTTCCCCTCCTCCTCTTCCTCTTCCACTCCCAATCCCCTCAACCCTCAACCTCCCACTCAAACCCGAAAGCGTCTCATCAATAAACCCCCCTAACATCCTCAGGCCCGGCACTATTATCCCGAATAAGTTCCAAAAGTCTCAACGCAGCACACGAATCCGCCTCCCGAACCAGTGTAAAAAGATCATTTAACAAATCCCGATGATAAGATAATTCATCAGCGGTTCGCTTCGCAGCGACTCGTCGTCGCTGATCGAGTGATTCGTCGAATAAACATGTTCGGTGGAAAGTGAGACAATTGGTGCATGGTGGTGTACCGGAACATTTCCTTTTGGACTTTTTGCATGCTAGACATGCTGTTGAGACTCGTTTTTTCCATGGGGTGTTTGTACTTGTGCTGCCAGTGTCTGGTATTGCTGTGGAGCTTAGGTTGCCGGTGGAACTTGATGATATACCTCCTGCAGCTGGTGCAGCGGTTGAGCTTGATTCTTGAGTTGATGTTGAATTTTTGAAGGGCGGGGGACTGCTTTGGTCTGAGATTGGCGAGGGACCTGTTGTGATGTGGCGTTGGTCGGAGGTCATATCGATTGGATCGTGGGATTGATATTTGGATAATGTACTATACTGCAGGTAGACACCAACAACTTGAATGTGTACTAGTAGTAGGGCCAGTGAGATAACTTGTTTCGAGTGGTTGTTTGAAAGATTGTTGAGTGGCTATAGTGTACGCCGCAGTATACTTTAATTTCACAACAGTCGCCATATCGAGCTCAAGTTCTTGCTTTTGCCGCGGAAATGACGACGGGGGCGAGGACTCGAGAAAAGAGGCGGTTGAAAGGGATTTATAACCCAGTGAGGCGAAGGGAAACGTGAATGGGATGAGAAGCCTTAATTGGTTGTTCAGGCATGGCAAGGGGATACAGTATCCAACAATCTCTCGCCAAGGACAGCCGCAGCAGAAAATGACGGAGAGTAGAATGAAACTTGTAAAGCCCTGTACATTTTAAAAGTATGCAAGGATGCCCGAGTCCAAGATCAAGTTCTTTGACCGGGATTGAAGGGAAGTTGGGAGTTAACTACAGCCGCGGAGACCGCATTGAATGATCTTTCCACCTACAATGGAGCAGGATCGAGTACCCGGCTATTAAATCCTTGTCTCATTTTGACCAAACAGGGAAGACATCCTACTTTGGAGGCCTGAGAAATTGCCTGGCGGTGTCAAGATGACGTTTACTGGTGTTGTCGGGAACAACAACCCGCCAATCCGAGGACGGAAAAGATAGCAGCAGCAGCAACAAAGACAAAAACAGTACTTCTGGTGAGCAAAATAGCTAGTGCAGTGACATCGATGCACTAGTACAACCTTGGGATAGTCTGGGAAAGAAAGACAGGACCTGCTACTAGTTAACTAGTACGAATAAAGCAACTACTACCAGACACTCCAGGGCTGGCACATGTATAGCTACCAGTGTCTAGTATGTCAACACTACAACTACAACTACACTTCAATTGAATAATAATGAGGAGGTAGATGCAACTGCCGTACTTAAAAAAGACCAGACCGCAAAGTGCAGCCCGAAAACAAGACGCTGGATTATTGTAATGTAGTACAAGGCACATCTTTAGCATACTCCATGATTCCATCGAATGCACCTCCCAAAACCAAATTAAAAAGTCGAATCGACGACAGCAAGAAAGCTGAGACCGAGACCAGAACCAGACCGGGGCTCAATTATTAAATCTAGTGCTCCAAAATACGGAGGGAACCCTGCACAACGCAGTTCTCCAGGACGGATCCAGGGGGGATATCAATAGTGCTGCCCTCGGTGGCGACGATGATAACTGTGCCCTTGAGAGTGACGTTGCGGCCGAGGTTGACGGCACCGGTGATGGTCAGGTGGTCCAGCTCGACGATGCGGGGGATACTGCCGATGCGCTTCTGGAAGTCGGAGACCTTCTTGAAGTCAGAGCCCAGCTTGATGACGGGAACACCACCGAAACGGTTGGGGTCCATGACGAGCTGGCCGTGCTCGAGGCGGTACAGGTCGGACTTGACGACCATCAGGTCGGAGCAGGTCTTGACGGGCAAGAAGCGGCGACGGGGCACGTTGACACCGTGGGCATTCTTGAAGTGGCGGATGGCGGCACCGACGGCGGTCTCCAGCTGGTAGATGGCCTGGTCGGCCTCACCCTTCTTATCGGCGGGGATGGACTTCTCGTTGGCGATAATCTCCATCTCCAGCTCGTTCTCCTCGACAACGCGCTTGATGGCCTGGACGTTCATCCAGATGTTGTTGGTGTTGAAGTACTTGAACTTCTTGATGGACTTGAACTCGTTGACGTGCTCCTTGGGGACCTGGGCGATCTCCAGCAGGCGGACCTTGCCGTCCTGGTCAATGATGGTACCACCCTTGACATCGGCCTTGGTCTTGTCGGTCAACTCCATGATGTACTCAGCCTTGGAGTCAACCATGTGCTGCAGGATGCGGAGATCGACGACGGCACCCAGGTTGTCAGCGTTGGACAGGAAGATATACTCAATGCCACGCTCGATCAGCTTGTCGAGAGTGCCGGAGTTGTAGAGAGACTCGTAGACGTCACCGTGGCCAGGAGGGTACCAGTCTTGGAGGGGAGCATCGAAGCTCTTGGGGGCGGGAAGGAGAGAGTCCTTGATGATACGGGGGTAGCGGGACTGGTTGAAGGTGATGATGTCGACGTTGTGGCCCTCGTACTTCTTGATAATGGACTGGGTGTCCTGGTCGGTGTTGAAGGAGTTCATGAGGACGAAGGGGACGTTGACATTGAAGGTGCGGTTGAGGTGCTCGATCTGGCGGACTGACAGGTCGAGGAAGGACATGCCCTCACGGACCTCGATGACGGACTTGGGGCCAACGCAGCCCATGGAGGTACCGAGACCACCGTTCAGCTTGACGACAGCCAGCTTGTTCAGGAACTCAACGGAGGCATCAGCACCGAGCTCGTCGTAGCCGACGACCTGCGAGGGCTGGGGAGGAGCGATGCGGTCCCAGTTGACAGCGTTACCCTTGGCCTTGTCATTGAGGAAACGACGGAAGAGGGCGAAGAAGTTGTCCATCTCGGTCTCGAAGCGCTTCTTATCGGCGGGCTCGGTGACGGAGTCGGAGAGGGCGTTCAGGGCATTGCGCATCTGCGAGGCAGCCACGCTGGTGGAGGCATTCTCGAAAGCCTGGAGTGAGGCGGGCATTATTAGCATGAGGTGTACAGAAGGGCCAAAGAGGTGGTGGGGGAGGGGGATGGAGCAGAGAAGTGTCAGAGAAGTGTGAAGCAATCCGATCGAGTAGAGGGGAGAAGAGGGAGGAGAGGAGGGGAAGAACAGAAGGTGGCGATTAGATCAAGGAGGGAAAGGAGGGAGCAAACACGATGGGAGGCATGGAAAGTAAACAGAGACCACCCTGGGGAAGGGCGGAGGGCATTGCGATCCACGGGGTGGAAAGACATGCGATGCGATGGTCCAGGCAAGAACGAGCCAGCAAAAATATGCGATCTTCACATCGCAAGTACAGCAAGTACAAAGACAAACAAGTGCAACTCTTCTCTTCTCTTCTCTTCTCTTTTCAGACCAGCGGTGAGGCACTTACCATGTGGGATTGCGATTTGCCATGGTGCTTGCCGGAGAAAGAGCCGGACGGAGCATCGCCCGCGGGGGCAAGGTGAGTAGGCAGAGCCTTAGCAGCCATTGTGGAGGATTGTAGGGGGGGTTTTTTGGTGGCTGCGACTGTTGAGGATAGCAGTTAGTGGAGAGCTAGAGGAGGTGGGAGAGTGGGCAGTGGATGGACGGCGGGGGAGCAGAAAGAAATGGTCAAAAGGAATTGGGAATTGGTAGAAGAGAGGAGATTTTCAAGTCGAACACAGGGAACTGTCCAAGCCAACACAGAGGAGGGGTTAAATCGCCACGCATGTCGATCATGTCGACAGTGGCAGAGGGAGAGAGCAGTAGTACCAACAACAACGACAGTAGCCCGATAAGGCGAATTGGGGGATGCAAAGTACAGAGTACTGGGTACAAGTGACAATAAGAGGAATAGAAAGGAAATCAAGGAATACTCACAGATGGATCAATGGAGAGAAGAAAGATAGAGAGAGGAGAGAGAGAGAGGAAGAGAGGAGGAGGAGAGAAGCAAAGCAGAAGGAGGTGGGGGAGTAACGTGATATTTATTGTTCTTCTACACTTCACACTTCACTTCTCCTTTACACTCACTCACTCACTCACTCACCTACACTTCTACTTCCAATCTATACTTACTCTCCTGAGTTATTTATGGCAGTCTCCATTCATTGCACTCCTTCTCTGTTGGTCTCTGCTGATAGCTTCATAGCTTCATGCTCCACTACTCACCGCATCACCATCACCACCACCACCAGTGCTTCACCACCACGGCTGAACAATCTCCCGCAGACCCTTTCCAGACTAATTCCAGAAGGACATCCAGATTCCACATTCAGACAGATTCAGATTCCACAGTCCCGAATCCAGACCAGAGCCCCTTTTCCCTGCTCTCATCTGGTCTGGTCTTCAAGTTCTCCACCCCGCCCGGGCCCACGCGTCCTGGCCGATCATGAGCCCTCGTGCTGAAAGCAGCGGATGCCTCTCTGTTGAGGCGTCGACCCTGGAATGTACACCTACAAAGTCTCTTGTCCCTTGTACCTCGTACCGCCAGGATTGCAATGGCAGTTGTCACTCTGATTGCAATTGCCACTGATATCCCAATGCCATCTCCCTCCAAACCATGTCCCATTCAAGACACTCCCATTCCAATGTCTCTCGCTGTCTCTCTTTTGTCTCGGTGCTAGCTCTGCAACTGGCTGCTGTCTCTG